AGGGTGACTTCACACAGGATCTTGAGTCTGGGAAGCTGGGGTCCGGCCTCAGTTCAGGAGCCTCATGACCTTGTGGACATGCAATGACCTTTAGATGTCTGGGTTTCTTCATCTTTAAAATGAGGTTAATTACACTTGTCCACTTTTCCTGACCACCTCATAAGACAGTGGTAAGATGATGACCAGGAAAGCAATTTGGATAGCAGACAACAAAAGGCCATACAAATTTTAAGTATTATAATCTGAGTTTCCTGCATTCTCTATCCTGAAAGATATGGCAACACCAGGGTTAACAAAAAAAACCTTCCTCCCCTCGTTCATCATCACTGCCCCAATTCTTTGGTGCAAGGTGCTGTGTCTCTGAGATAAGACTCCTCCCCTTTCATTCCCTCTGGTTCCACAGAGTTCTAGGTGGGTGGTGTAGGCTCTCAGAAAGGAGAGGCAGAGGACACCCACCGATGGCAGAGATGGCAGCCTGCGCAAAGTCGGCGGACACGTCAGTGCAGTACCCCCGAAGCTCCTCCAGCACCTGCTGCACATTCTCGTCATTCACCAGCTCACACAGCACCTCCACCTTCTGCAGTTTGATGTAGTGTGGCTCCGAGTAGGAGCAGAAGAACTTCTTGTAGTGGCCACTGAAGTGACCTGGCAAACTGTGCAAGATCTGGCGCACGTGACAGAGGGCCACAAAACAGAGCTCACGGCTCTCTGACGAACAGGCCGCCAGCAATGGCCCCTTGACTCGCACGAGCACGTCCGTTTGTACGTGAGGGAATTGCTTTGCCAGGACCAGAAAGAGTTTGGTGGCTCCCATCACCACACTTGGGCTACTGCTCTTGAGAAAGCTGTCCAAGAGATTAAGAATGTCAAACAGTTCCTCCTCACTGCGGGGCTGGTAGCGTAGCAGGAAGTTCAGTACTTCGGCCTGACCCCATTGGTCCAGTTTGGGCATTCTATCCAAAAAGAAAACAAAAGTGCTATTTTAGCAACCAAATTAAGACTATCTCCATGCTACTGTCACCTGTTTTCATAACAAAGGGAGACTTCTTAAAAATAGGCTGTGCCATAATCAAACTATTCTTTCCATATACTCTTTAAGGCTTACACAAAATACTTTAAATTCTGAGACGAGTTTATAGTACAAATGCTCACTCATCTAAGGCCAAAGACGTGATCGTGATCACTTCGCCCTAGATCCGGATCTCCTACATTTTAACACAGCGCACGTGGCTTGGGGGGGGGGGGGTGTAATGACTGCAGAGGAGGACAGGACATCCCCACAGGATGTTTGTGCCAGATCACCGAAAGGACCTAAGGTGAGTGAAAGAAATTCTCTCCATGCAATATGAGGAAGTTCATAGTCGTGAACGACTTTCTTTGCTACCCTAAAGAAAGTATTCACAACCTCTCCTTAACTCAACCCACTGGTAAGATCCCCTAAGATGCAGATCTCTTCATAATAAAAAGGGCACCAAGGCGAGGCATCCAAACCGATTCAGGAGATGGTGGGCGATGGGCTTATTGATGACAACACCTCCTTCCTGTTTCAGAATTTCCTCTAGAGATCTCAGGCAGTTTACCACCACAATTGGGTCCTGGTCACGCAGCAAACTGTAGAGTTCATTCACCAGGGCACCATCTATAAAAGAGAAAGCAGACCTCAGGTAAAGAAGAAAAAGCTTCAGAGTCACAGGAATAGAGCCGCAGCAGGAGCTCCTGGAAGACAAAGCTGAGCTTCTCTGCTCCAAAAATCACAAAGGCAATACAAAGTCAAGGCCAAAAACTTGCCATCTCCACTCCACTCTAAGTAGCTAAGGCAAAGGATTAGAGGGCCCCAAAGAAAGGGCTCCTCTAATCTCAGAAAATATCAAACCTTGCTTCCTACTTAAAGGGACATGCACAGAAACAGGGCTCCATAATCTTTCAGTGTCATACATACAGTGCAGGCACAAATACACAATGATTAAGATGGGTTACACTGACACTTACCCACTTCAGAGTCCCCGTGAAGATTATGCATCTTGGCACAGCCAAGGACTGCCACCCGCCTGACGTACGAAGCCTTATCCCGCAGACCGTGGAGAACAGGCTGTTGGATGTACTCCTGCACACCAGGCATCCTAGGCAACACACCCCGGTATCAGCCAGATCCTGGAATCCTAGTTTTGACACAGTCAGCCCCTAATAACTGAACAGAGGATTCGATGGATGTCTGAATGTGCACTGGTCAGATGATGAACTGGAGAAAGCTGCTGCCAAACTTAAAAGGCCTATTTGACCTTTCATTTGGAATACTGCTGCACAGGCAGCAAAAATACACACACACGTGTAATTGTTTAGAAATCTTTAAACCTGAACTAAGAACTATCTCACCTAGAGTGAGGATGGAAAACTCCCTCTAATGAACCTATGTGGTGTAAACCAAAGCAATGGCTGAAGATCTGTGTTTTCAGCTTACAACACTGGTTTTCCCAGGACGAAGGAGCTCAAATACATGATCATTGAAAACCTGCCCTTTGACCTCCTGAACTCCTCAGCCCCTGAGAAACAAGCAGGGCAGAGAGTGCTCACCTGAGGCTACACATGCTCCGTAGGGCCAGCCCTCGCACCATCGGGTTGGGGTCCGAACAGTCCTTGCACAGCGTGTTGATGGTCAGCAGAGCCAGATCTGGCTTCAGCGGGGCATATGTGCACATGTAGTGATAAACTAGCTTCTTCTGAACTATATCGATGGTGGCACTGGCCTTTACCATTTCCATGAAAACACCAGACATGTCCACACCTTGAGTCATGTGCCTGAAATCAACACACATAGCAAGAAGCAGCAAAACGTATAATCCCCAACCCACCGTGGGCAGTGTTTTATACCTGTCCTGGTTATCCAACTAGAGCGATCTCTGAGAGAGAAGCACCCGGGTCCCCCTTGTCTATTATGTTACACCAGGGACTTACAATAACTATTCTATTCATTCAACCAACACTTACTGAACTCCTGGTTCATTCCAGTGAAATTCAACTTTTACACATCAGGGAGATGCTCTGGGGACATAATCTTGAAGAAGGTATGGTCGTATATCTTTAACAACTCAAAGACTACTGAGAAGCCAGGCCAGAACACCACTAACTAACTGCAGTACAACAGACAGAGGTCTACTACTGCCAGGAAATCACGAAACATTTCCACAGAGGAAGTAACAGCTGAACCAGCAAGGCTCACCAGGCAGGTGTGTAGATAGGTAATAACACACACCCTGTGGCAGATAGACATGAGCAAGAATGGTACATTCTTCGGAGTCTACAGGCAGAGTGAGCCACATGTTCCCTGGGTGCTATGATTTAAAAAAAAAAAAAGTTTGGACTTAATTTGGTAAACCATTTCTCCACCTATGGTCTCCTACAGGAATCAGATGGGATATGTGTTAAAAATGCAGATTCCTGGGTTCCATTTCACCCTACTGAAATCACAATGACTGCATTGGAGGAAAAATCTACATTTTTTAAAGCACCCCAAGGGCCTTCTGTTCATGCTAAAGTTTGTGATCACCAGCTACAAGCAAGACGCATATGTTCAAATTCATATGTTGGAAAAATCATTCTGCCTGAAATGAGGGGGCAAGGGGACCTGCTAGTATGGTCTGGCGATTGCATTTTCACTTGGGAATGAAACCAGAACAGCAATGCCTTTTTTTTTTTTTTTTTTTTTTTTTTTTTGAAAGGATGGCTATTTAGAACTCTGGATTCATCTGACTTGAGAAGCGAAGATTGAGCTCAAGATTGGTTCCCTGGCTTGGTCAACAGGGTAGCGACAGTCTTCAACACAGATACATGGAAGAGCAGGCATGGGGAGAGGAAAGGACATAAGTGCTATTTTGCGTGTCTTTGAAGAAGCATCCTGGGGAAAATGCCACCCAGGCGGAGCATGTGGGTCTGAAGATAAGAACGGTCTGTACCGGGTATGATAGACGTCTGGGAGTCAGCAGTTTAAAGATATGGATGAAACCAGCCTGCTGAAAAAACAAGGTAAAAAATAGCCTCCCGGGAGGAGACCGAGATGGCACTCCAGAGAAGCAGGAAGCCCAAATCCCAGCACTGCCTGGTTCAGTCTCCCGTTCTTGGGGCAGCTGGCCCGTGGAGCCTGGGGCGGAGGAGCGAGGGCGTTGGCTGATACCTAATCACTCGCTGGATCACATTCCGGTAGCGCAGCCTGTCCGCCTGAATGTGAGGGTTACACAGAGCTCTCTTCAGCTCCTTCACCACGTCCTCGGAGCCGAGGTACGGCATCTTCCCGAACGCTCCCGGAGCGTTCCCCCAGCATCGACGTGGGAACCTGGGTAAAGCAAGTGCCAGTGAAACGACCAGAAGCGGGATCGCCCCGCGGCCGTGGCCTCCCCGGGGCCTGGCACACCCAAGCTTCGCCCGGCTCAGCCCCGGACCCGCCCCCAGCCCCACCGCCGCCGGCCCTAGGGTTCGTCCCGCTGGACATGCCCGCCGGCTCGCTCCGCCCACTGCTCAACCCTCTACCTTTAGGCCCCCGGCCCCCGGCGGGATTTCCAGTCCCGCAGGCCCCGGGTCCACAGACCCCACCCTCTCTCTCCGGAGCCGCCTGTCTGACGCCTCCACGCGTTGCTGTCCCCGATACGCCCTATCACGCTTTCGGCGGAAGTCCCGCCTCCTCCTCGGAGACCACGCAGAGCAGCTGCCACTCACGCTCTCCTATCGAGCGCCGAGCGCCGCTGGGGCCCCAACCTTTGGGTGCCCTTCCCCCAAGCTCTCACCTCAGAGCGCGGCCCGCGGCTCCGTCGGCGGGGAATCGGAAATTGGCTGCTTTGGCCTGTCTCCGCCCAAGAGCGCGCGCTTTGAGTGGAGAGCTCCAGCACGCGGGTGGGAATTGACGCTCCGCGCGCGGGTGCGAGCGACGCCCCCCAGGGCGGTTTCCACAGTGTGCGAGTCCACCTCGACTCCCCGAGCACCGTCACTTCCTTTTTCTGCCCGCTCTAGTAACTCATTCCGCTTTTGGGCTAGCCTTTTTGGCCCTGCCCTTGCCCCGGCGTTCCCTTTTCCGAGGCCGCTTGCGGGAGGCTCACACCGGAGCTCTGATTCCATGAGGATCCCATTGGTGACTCCAGCCCGCCACCATGAACGGGGTCCTGATCCCCCACACGCCCATCGCCGTGGACTTTTGGAGCCTGCGCCGGGCTGGTTCCGCACGGCTCTTTTTCCTGTCCCACATGCACTCGGACCACACCGTGGGGCTCTCTAGCACCTGGGCGCGGCCCCTCTACTGCTCCCCAATCACGGCTTTTCTCCTGCACCGCCACCTGCAGGTACCGGTAGCTGGAGTCGAGCTCCGAGCGCTGGTCCCGACGTCTGGGTGGGACGTTAGGTCTATCGCAACCCTGGGGTCACAGCGTAGAGGCCAGAAGGACTGGTTGCTACAAGTGCGGGAGTTGTTTGAGTCCGTAAATTCGTCTTGAGCCAAAACAGGAGTGTGGCTTCCACCTGGCAGACTTGGGAATGTATCAGCGCTAAGTTGGGGAGATCTTTTAGTCCAACCAAGGAAACTTCCTGCCTTTTCACAAAAGCTAGGCTAATGTTCCCCAAACTTGCTTCATCGTAATGTGCTGGGTAGATACACAGATTCTCCACCACTTCCCTTTCCCCACCCCCATCTGATTCAGTAGATACAGCCGGTACAAGTCCTGGAAATCTGGTAGGAATTTTTTTTTAAACAGGTGCCCTCCCAAGGGATTATGATCAGAAAAGTTTGAGCATCACTGACTAGACTTTTTGTGGGCTCTTAATTAATTTAGAATTGTACAGAGGGGGGGGGGTGGTGAGTGGGAGAAGGAAGAGGGCATGGTTTAGGAATTCACATTACAGCTTATTCTCCAGGGTGGCTCAGCATTTGGTCAGCTTTCCCTGATTCAGGAAAGGAATAGCTTTCAGTCCAGGGAGCAGAGTCTGTGTTCACGGGTCTGACCAGCTGTTTCCTCAGGTGTCTAAGCAGTGGATCCGAGCTCTGGAGGTTGGTGAGAGCCATGTCCTGCCTCTAGATGAAATTGGGAGAGAGACCATGACCGTAACCTTGATGGATGCCAACCACTGCCCTGGCTCTGTCATGTTTCTCTTTGAAGGATACTTCGGAACCATCCTCTACACAGGTGGGCCTCCCCAGGGGTCCCTCCTACCTTTTCAGCCTAGACACTACTTTCTTGAGCAGCCTTAACTCATAACAGAAGTCTGGAGGCCTCCTAGCTTCATCTCATATGAGCACCGGCCCTTTCTTAACTGATTTCTCACGCTTTAAGGGTCCAAGCCTTGTAGTGGAGCAGGATAGAGGCATTTCCACAAGGAAGCTCTACTGTGCCTGTTAGTTTGGTGCCAGACTCCAGGGCAGTTTTCCCACTGAAGCAAATGGCCGTTCGTTGTTGCAGTTGGGAGGCTCGGCTCCTATCTTTTGTCTCTCTTTGTCTCCAGGTGATTTTCGGTATACACCCTCCATGCTGAAGGAGCCAGCCCTGAGCGTGGGGAAACAGATCCATACCTTATACCTCGACAACACCAACTGCAACCCAGAGCTGGCTCTTCCTTCCCAACAAGAAGCCACCCGCCAGATTGTGGAGCTCATTCGAAAGCACCCACAGCACAACGTAAAGATTGGTGAGCGGTTTCCTTTCCTTTTTCTCTCACCCGTAGTTCTTTGCGGGTGGCTCACGGCTTGCAAGTCTTTGTGCAGCAGACCTTCCTTCTCCATGAAACCCGCCCTGACCATCTTATTTAAAATTGGCATCCGCCCACCGTCCCTGTTCCCACATCGCCGACTCTTGATCTCCTACCAATTCACCTGTTTAGTTTTTTCATAGCTCTCATTATCTTTCACTGTACCCTGTGTTTTTTATATGCTGTTACTTTTTGTTTATTGTCTGTCCTCCGCTTCCTTTGCCCCTACCCCCACATAAACCCCTTGAGAGCATGGATAAACGTAGGAAGAAGTCTCGTGTGTTTTGGGGACAGGGAAGCAGCAGCCAGTGGGACAGGTGCACAGTAGGGGAGGAGACTGGCAAGGCAGGAGGGGCTGAAGTGCTTGTGAAAGACGTTTCGAACTTTATCCTAAAGGCAACCATTGCTCTTAGGACAAAAAAACTTTATTTCAAGTAGGAGAACAATACTGCAATGGTCACCGTTTAGTTTTTATTATCTGTCTCCCCCTGCTAGACTGTAAGTTCCAGAATGGCAGGGCTCTTTGTTTTAATTATGGATATGCCCCTAATACCTGATGAGGCATTTCATAAATATCTGTTGCATGAGTGAGTGAAATGTATCAGCATGCAGATATCCCAGTGAGTGTTGTGCTGAAAATTAGATACAGTGAGAAGCCACCTGTATGCTTATTCTAATGTTTTCCCCAAGAGCACAACATATCTTGGGGACTCTTCTTTTGGAATTGCCTTTTGAGATAGTTTATGAAAGTCAACTTTTGTTTTAAAAAAGGTAATAGGTTTAGTTCTAAATGATCTTTTTGACTGTTTCCAAAATTATAATAAATCCACAAAGGGGAAGAAATTGCCACCGTGGTGAATGCTATATAAAAGGCTGTGCCCCACGTTTGAAAGGAGTTTCAGGGTAGTTCAGACAAGGGCGTGGGAAACACTGTGTACCTGCCAGGGTGACTCCCAAACGTGTGGAAGAACAGCCCTTTCTCGTGGGATTGACTGCTCGTGCACTGTCGGTCCTACTGTGCTCAGTTTTCAATGCCATTTCCCCACAGGAGCACCGCTCACTAGGAGGGTCAGTAGTAGGGCTGGATTCGTTCTGCAAATATATAATAAGCCCCTATTATGTGCCAGCCATTCGGATAAGCAGTGACATGAAAAGCTGAATAATATTAGGGCTTACAGTCTAGTAGTAAAGGACCTAAAAGAGGTTTTAAAAAGTTGGGAAGATAGGGAGAGAGAAAAGGAAACCAGCCACATTCGTGCCTGAAAAGTGAAGATTGGAACCGTAGGAATAATGTGGATATAAAAATATAAGTTCTTTAAAGGAGTTTGCACAGAGTCTGGGTGTGGACTTGAGATGCCCCTCCAGAGAGGGTCTGAGAACAGCCACTGCACACGGCTCCCACGTCTCTCCCTGCAGCCACCACTCAAACGCTGGCCTCCATTTTTCCCGTGTCAGCACTGCTTGGGCCTTCTCACCTGGACTCCTGCTGTTGGCGTCCCCTCTGAGCCACAGAGTCACACTGCCGGGGTTTTTTAGAGGAAGCCCAGCCTGCCCTCATCATATTGCTCCTGTGGTTCGAATGAGCGTTTTCTCTCCTAACACGCTGCAGGGGCTTCCCTTCACTTGCAGAAGGAAGTGCGAGTTCCTTGCTGATACGCACAGCGCCCTGCGTATGTCCCCTGTTTACTGCTCTAGGGTCGCCTCTACATTTTTATTTCAATATTTATTTATTTTTTAGAGAGAGGGGAAGGGAGAGAGAGGGAGAGAAACATCGACTGGTTGCCCCACACACACGCCCCGACCAGGGGATGAATCTGCAACCCAGGCCTGTGCCCTGACCGTGAATCGATCCAGCCACCTTTCACTTTGTGGGACGACGCCCAACCGAGCCACACTGATCAGGGTGTGTCACTTTTTAAAATTAAATGTATTGGGCTGACATTAGTTAAGAACATACAAGTTTCAGGTGTAGAATTCTATAGTACATCATCTGTATGTTGTATTGTGTGCTCACCACCCAAAGTCTAGTCTCCCTCCATTCACCAAATTCAGGGCGGGCAAAAGTAGGTTTACAGTTGTGAGTACACATTACTTATTTATTAATTATTGACTCATTTGTGTTGCAACTGTAAACCTACTTTGTTCCACCCCTGTATTTGGTACCCTTTACCCTCTTCACCCTCCCCCCATGCACCCTACCCCTCTGGTAGCCCCGTTTCAGTTGTCTGCATCTGTGAGTTCGGTTGTTTTGTTTGTTCGTTCACTGCTTTCTGATTTATATCCCACATACGAGTGTTTTTTCCCTCCGACTTCTTCCCCTTAGCATGTCATCCTTCAGATCCCTCCATGTCGTCACGTGTGGCTGTATTCCGCCTGGTCTTACGGTGAAGTCGTGTCCCATTGTACAAACAGGACATCTTCTTTATCCAGTCGTCCGTTGAAAGTCCAGTGTCATTTCTTACCAGTTCCTTCTCTGTGCTTTATGAACACCAGCCCCTCTTAAAATGTTCTCGGCCATTCCCTTCCCTGGCCAGGTTTACCTGGACCCATCCTTTAACACTTAGCTCAGCTATCATTTTCAGGATTCTTTTTCTAACTTCATCCATGGATAGATTCTTTTCTGTGTGCATGCCTCTAGCATTGCCCTTAACCACATGGTTTACGGGTTCCCACGGAGATTACACTCCTAGAGGACTGAGACCTCGTTGTCACAGTGTCTGTCTCTTGGTAGGTGCTTTCCTATGTTGAACTGAATGACCAAGTGAATTCTGTGTTAGCTTCTCTGTTTGCCCCATTTTCCATAGCTCTCAGCTCACATGCCATCCCCTCCCTGACGTATTCTGATTGCTCCGTTCACGCTGTGTATTTCTGTGGAACGTTTGGTTGGTTTAGTAGCGTTCCCAACAGCTTCATTCTCTTCCTTCTCTTCCTTTCCCCAACCCCATCACCACGATTCAGGACTCTATAACCTGGGGAAGGAGTCCCTGCTGGAGCAGCTGGCCCTGGAGTTTCAGACCTGGGTGGTACTGAGTCCTCGGCGCCTGGAGTTGGTGCGGCTGTTGGGCCTGGCAGACGTGTTCACAGCGGAGGAGAAGGCTGGCCGCATCCATGCCGTGGACCACGGGGAAGTCTGCCGTTCCGCCATGCTGCGCTGGAACCAGACCCACCCTACTATCGGGGTCCTCCCCACAAGCCGGCAGATCCACCGCACCCACCCCGACATCCACATCATCCCTTACTCCGACCACTCCTCCTACTCGGAGCTTCATGCCTTTGTCGCAGCACTGAGGCCTTGCCAGGTGGTGCCCATTGTCAGACGGCAGCCCTACGGCGACTACTTCCGGGACAGCCTGAGCCCCAGGCTCTCCATGCCCCGGATTCCAGACTCTGTACAGCAGTACATGAGTTCCTCCTCTAGAAAACCAAGTGTCCTGTGCCTGTTAGGAAGGAGGCTGAAGAGGCCAAGAACCCAGGGTGTCATGTTTGAGTCTCCTGTGGAAAAGTCTGATCAGTTTCGAGCTGACAGGGACTCAAAGGAGGCCAAGAACAAGAACCTTTCTGGGAACCTTGAGAAGCCGCCCTCCCACCATCCTTTGCGGAGTAAGAAGCAGTTGTTCCCAGACCTCCGCAGCAAAGAGTGGGGTGGGGCAGTCCCTTTCTCTGAGTCCCAGAAGAGGGTGACTGTACTGACTGTCCCCTTGGGTTTTTCAGTTCATTTAAGGTCCACGGATGAGGAATTTATCTCTCCGGAAACTGGGGAGGAAATTGGTGTAGGGCCCCACTTGGTCCCCAGGGGAGACAGAGATGGCTCGGCAGCCTCTGGGACCCAGCACGTGAGGGGGCACCAGGACTCACCCCTGCCTCACAGCAGCATGGCTCTCCCTCTTCCGGCTTCTGAGTTCAGCAGCCTGACCCTGAAATACCTCCTGACTCCAGTGAAGTTTTTCCAGGCGAGGTTCTCTTCCCGGGGCTTCGACCGGCAAGTGGAAGAATACCACAAATCCTTGCTGAGTCCAGAGAGAGGAGCGTATAATCTTGTTTGATCCTGCCCTACAGTTTGAAAGATAGTGGATGCTGGCCGCTGGGGGTTTGTTTAGGGCCTTTCCTGTCTTCCCAGGATCCTTTTGGGCTCACCCTGGAGCAACACTCATTCAAGTGTGTTCACTAGAAGCCTAATGCCTAGAGACTTTTGCAACTTTATTACAGTTGCAACTTTAGATTATGGTTGATTGTTTGAAAACCATTTTCATTAAAACCTTCACAGTATAAATCCATGTTACGTTCTGAGGAGGCCTGCATGGTCATCTGTTTACATTTCTTTAGTACAGTATTTCTCCAATGTTTTAGGACATGCACGCCTCTTAGGTGTCTGTACAAAGAGTTAAAGAGTCTGAGTCAAAAAGGCCCAGGATGCCCTGGCTGGTGTGGCTCAGTGGATTGAGCACAGGCCTGTGAAGCAATGTGTTGCCAGTTCGATTCCCAGTCAGGGCACATGCCTGGGTTGCAGGCCAGGTCCCCAGTAGGGGACACAAAAGAGGCAACCACACACTGATGTTTCTCTCCCCCTCTTTCTTCCCTTCCCCTTTCCCTAAAAATAAATAAAACCTCTTTCCTTAAGGCCCAGGTTATTCCCATTGTTATTTCGTATGCATTATGCCATCTCCTTGTCCTCCCTTCCGTGTCCTACACCAGGGTCCCTAGGTAGTTCTTTTTTTTTAATTAGGAATTGTGCTGGAGGACAAAGTGGTCATCCAGGCAGCACGTTCCAGTCCTGAATGTCACTGACTGCTGTGACCCCATCCAAGCCACTTCCTGTCTCTGCCTCTGGGAGGGAACAGGAAGTGATGACGAGCCCTGGAACAGTGGAGAAAAATGCCGTCTTTGCCTCCATCAGAGTTTGCAGTTGGTGTCACTGGGGACCTACCTGGAACAGGGCCAGCTGGGGGATTGGGCACCCCTCACCGAGGCAGTATCTGAGACCAGGCTTAGGGTACGAGGGCCTCCCAGCTGCCTGGAGGCCCTGACTTTGAAATAAAGTTACAAAAGATCAAATGGGCTGCTGGATATTGCTGATTGTGCACATTGCTGGGATATTTACTGTCCGCCCCCCGCCCCCACGTCCCCGGGATGAGTAGGGCGCCAGAGCACACAGTCTGTTTTTCTCAGTATCCAGGGCAGAGACCAAGGAGCCAGCTGGTGGAGGGGGTGGGGGCGTGCAGCCCTGCCCTGTCCTTCTGCTCCAGCCTGACACGATGCCAAGCCACTAAGCAGGACAGCAGATATCACAGTCTCAGAGAGGGCACAGGCATGCAGAGCTGGGCATGTGGATAAACACTGCTTCCAAAAGGGTCCTCAAGCCTTCGTGATGAAGCCCCTGTTTCTTCCCCGGGAAAGACAGTTGTATCCTTTGGAGGAAGATATGAAGAGTTTAGGAACCGTTCTAGGGCCCTGCTCGTGGACAAGCAGTCCACAGCTATGTGTTGACAGTGACCTTCCCTGGAAGTCTCCCAAGGGCCCCTGGGAGCTGTAGCCAGTGGGCCTGTGGGGCCACAGGAAACAGGCCTTGTCCTGGGCTGGAGTCCAGGGAGCCCTGGGCCCACAGGCCACGAGAGACAGCGCAGCCTCTGTTCCATGGCCACAGAGCAGTCCGAGATGCCCGCCTTTGCTGGTGGCCGCGGAGGGCAGATACTTGGGGAAATTCCCAGCTCACTGCCCACCAATAATGGGGGTTTGAAGTACTGGGTCTCTTAGCCTCTGCTTCTGTAAAAAATTTATATCTAAAATGAGAAACTTGGGGAATCATATGAAAATATAGAGGAAAACTAAAATTCCTTTAGGTAGGACAATTGTTTTAGCCCTTTTCTGCACATGTAAATGTATTAAGTATACAATTTTTTTCAAAATTGGGGTAACTCTATATATAGTTTTATATTCTGAAGATTACATGGTGTCTTCAGCATTTCCTTGTATTACTAAATATTCAAAATGTATTTGTAATAGTATATTAAATATTTTAATAGTACAATGCCCTATGATATGGATGTATCTTAAATCATTTCCATAATATTCAAAATTTTCTCTGTCCTTTTCCATAACTACACATATTACAGTGACCACCCTTGTGCATACATCATGGTATTTAAATTTTTTTTTAATTTTATTGATTTTTAGAGAGAGAGGGAGGGAGAGAAAGAAACATCGATTTGTTGTTCCACCTATGGATGCATTCATTGATCCGTTCCTGTATGTGCCCTGACTGGGGATCAAACCCATAACCTTGACATAGCAGGACGACGCTCTAACCACTGAACTACCTAGCCAGGCCTCATGGTACTTTTGTTTATTAAATTACTGAAAGTGGGATTATGTTTAAAGTCCTTGGTGTACGTTGTGCCCTTATCCTCCAGAAGGGTTTCCTTACCACCCTTTCTGCAGAGGAAGGACAGCGCTAGAACACCTTGAAGGCTCATTAAAGTCCAAATGCTGTTATTAGTGTGGTACATGTTAACACTTGGAAAGTCATCATCTGTACCAATAGAGATTTGCTAAGCTATGAGGGCAAGGCTTAGCTGGGCTCCCTCTAGGAGCCTCTAGCTGTCTCACTTCTACGCTGCCCGAAGGTGTCTGGGAGAGATAAGGTTGTCTTCAGTAGGGGGGGGCCCAGGGTGGTGTTATCTCCTAGCAACAAGGGGACATGTCCAGTCTTGTGACGTGCTGTGTCACCCATTTTCCTTGAAGTGGGATCTGTAGAAGTTCAAGTGGAGAAGTAGAAGCAAAGGGCTTTGAGAAACTTGGGTGTTGCTGGCAAGTTTCTATATCAGTAATGGGAAAATTCCAGACTATTCTCCTAAAGTACATTTGTCTGGCTTCTAATAGAGATTGGCAATTGCCTTATCTGTTGTGCTTTCTCAATACTCTCTCAAGTTGAAGTGCTGCATGGCCTATACCTAAGTAGCCACTTTATTTCTAGAGTCTAAGCACGACCCCCTAGGTCTATAAAGATCTTGCATTAGTCCTGAAGGTACTAGGAGAAAGGAAGTTCCCTAGAGATGACTTAAGTTATTTGTTTCAGGATCTCTGGAGAAACTTGTACTTTTCCACAAGGACACTGACAGCGACTTAAGTCCCCTTAGAGAAGAAAAGCTGCGAGGCTGGCTCTGCAGGGCTATCTCTCACTCCTGACTCAGACAAATTTCCCGTTGTGGTAGGAAACAGCAGAGGTGAGTGTGCTGGTTCGAGAAAAAGGGAGTTGGGTCCTGGCTGGGTAGCTCAGTAGGTTAGCGCGTAGTCCCGATACACCAACACTGCAGTTCGGTCCCAAGTCAGGGCACAGACAAGAGTCGACCAATGAATGCATAAATGAGGGGAACACATAAATGAGGAGAACAACAAACCCACGCCTCTCCCTCCCTTTCTCTCTCCCCCTCCCCACTTCCTGTCTCTCTCTTAAAACCAATACATTAAAAAAAGGAAAGATTTGGACCTAGGTTCTCTGTCTCAACTCCACTCCCAGGGAGACAGTTCACTCTGCGTTCTTCAAGTGGTTCTCGGGCAGGAGAAATCCTGTCTGGGGGTCCACCCACACATATTCTAATGCTACCACCGCCGAGCAGGGGTCAGTCTGTTACCTGCCTCCCACCCTCCACCCTCCCTAACCAGCACCACAAGCTATTTTGTCTTGGGTTCCTAGTGCTTCCCACCTTGTTCCCTGGGACATCCCACGGACGTCGATACGGAATGATTCTGCTCGCCTTTATAACCATACAATTGGAACAAGACAGAAACTGCCCTACCCACACGGGATTTACATTTTGAAGGAGACAGTGTAAATAACTACCCGGAAGTGAGAAGTGCCAAGAAGAAAATGCAACCGGCTGATAGTGTTGGAGGGAGACAGGTGCCGGTTGAGGATGGCGACTGTGGGATTGACACACAAGCTGCACCCCGAGTGAGGGAAAGGAGCCAGTGGGGCGAAGACCTGGAGGGATCATCAGCGCAGACATCGTGTGATGGGCATGCACGTTGTGCCTGAGGAGCATAAGGAAGAGTATGTGGCCAGGGAGGAGAAGAAAAGGGACTCAGAGGGGTTGGGTCAGGAGTGATATAACAAAAATAAGAAGTCTGGGGGGAGGGGAGGGTTCTTACATTTTTTTAATTAAATTATTTTATTGGTTATGCTATTACAGTTGTCCTGATTCTTTCCCCTTTGCTCACCTCCGCATAGTACCCCCTACACACCCTCAGGCAATCCCCCCCACACCATAGTTCATGTCCATAGGTCATGCCTGTAAGTTCTTTGGTTCCTCCATTTCCCATACTTCGATACTTCCGTATTTCACATCCCCATGGCTATTCTGTAACTACCTGTTTGTATTTCTTAATCCCCTCACCTCTTCACCGGATCTCCCCCTACCCCTCCTATCTGGCAACTATCTGGTAACTAACTTCTTTTCTCTTGCTACTTTTAAGAGTCATTCTTTGCCTTTAAATTTTGGCCTTTTAATTATGATGTGTCTTGGAGTAGACCTCTTTGTATCCATCATAATTGAGACTCTCTGTGCTACCTAGACTTGCCTGTCTATTTCCTTCACCAAATTAGGGAAATTTCCTGTTACTATTTTTTCAGATAGATTTCCAATTCCTCGCTCTTTCTCCTCTCCTTCTGACACCCCTGTATACAAATATTGGGCCTCTTGAAGTTGTCCCAGAGGTTATTTTTCCTATCCTCATTTTTTTGCATTCCTTTTTCTTCTTCTTGTTCTGCATGGTTGTTTTTTGCTTCCTTATGTTCCAAATCACTGGTTCGGTTCTGGACTTCATCCATTCTACCGTTGTTTCCTTGTACATCCTTCATTATTTCAATTAGTGTATCCATTTCTGACTGGGTCTTTTTTATGCTGCTGAGGTCCTCACCAAGTTCCTTGAGTATCCTTATAACCAGTGCTTTGACCTCTGCCTCTGATAGATTGCTTATCTCTATTTTCTTAAGCTCTTTTACTGGAATTTTGATCTGTTCTTTCATTTTGGCCATGTTTCTTTGTCTCCTCATTTTGGCAGCCTCCCTGTGTTTGTTTCTGTGTATTAGGTAGAACTGCTTTGACTCCGTGTCTTGATTGTGTGGTTTAATGTAGTAGGTGTCCTGTAGGGTCCAGTGGCTCAACCTCCCCCTATCACCCAAGCTGGGTACTTAAGGTGTGCCCTTTGTGTGGGCTGAGTACACCCTCCTCTTGTAGTTGAGGCTTGGATGCTGTTGGCAGATCAAGGGGAGGGGTTTACCCAGGCCAGGCAGCTTCAAGGACTGGCTCTGACCACTGACCACCAACTTCTGCCCTCTGTGGATGGTCAGCTGTGCAGAGGCAGGTTGGTGGTGCTCCAGTGTGGTCTGTAGCTGTCCACTGGGTGCACTGGCCCTGGGGTTCCCCGGGTGATGCAGGCCAAGGTCAGCCCCCACCTGTGTTATGCCCGGGGCTACCCTGCCTGAGCTGTAAAGTAGTCTGAGATGGCTGCTGCTTGTGCTGGGCTTGGAGATTCTCAGGTGAGGCCAAACTGTGAATCTAATCTGGCTGCTGCTAGGGCTCACTGAAGCCAGCTGTTGCTTGTTTGACAGGATTTAGGAGCCAAGACCAGCCATTCTTACAGAAAAGCAGCTTGGGTGGGCCTGTAACTTGGGTGAAGTACAGCCTCTGGGGATCTCCGAGGTGGGTCACACAGTGGTAGCCAGGTTGATGGAGTCTCAGATATGGCACCAGCCTCCCCACTCTGTGGGGGAAGGGTTTAGCCAAGAGCCTACGGCCCCTGCTCGCCCGATGCCAGACACTCCAGTCTCTCCCTGCACACCACACGTGACTTTCAGGCTTCTACCCTGGTGCTGGAGCTCAGAGAGAGTGAGTCTGAGTAGGTGAGTCATGTGTGGGTTCTTTAAGAGGGACCGCTTAGGACTCCAGCATTTTTTTTCCACCGACTCAATCCCTGCTGGCTTTTACAGCCAGAATGTGTGGGGATTTATTTTCCTGGCACTGGAATCCTGGGCTGGGGGACCTGGTGTGGGGCTGGGACTTCTCATTCCTGATGTCCCTCCTGAATTTTTATCCACGTGGATGTGGGACCAGCCCGTTCCACATCTGTGCCCCTCCTGCCACTTTGGATAGATGTGGTTTCTTTAATTTTGTAGTTGTCAAGTCTGACAACTCAACTCAAGCCATTCAACTCAACGTCTGTTGTTCCTGAGTGATGGTTGTTCTATATTCTAGTTGTAGTTATGGTGTGGTTGTGTGAAGAAGTGAGCCGTGTCTGCAGAAGTTGGGGTTTTCGTCTCGTATACTGGAAGGCTGTTAGAGTGCTTCACGGAAGGGGGGTGTGATACGACCTGATATGTATTTCGAAAATCAGCAAGTTGAGAACGGGGCTGCAGTGAAAGCATGGATGGGGCTGGAGTGAAAGCATGAACACCAGCCAGGAAGCTCTTGCAGCAGTGAGAGGTGGTGGTGAGCTGGCCTGGGGTGTGTGGAAGAGGCTGTGCGGAGCGCTCACATCTGGGAGAGTCGTGTGAGCATCACCTCAGTAGCACAAGCAGGCACAGGGGCGAAGATGAACCTTTTCTTCCACCAACGAGTCATAGAGGAGATGTGTATATATAGCCACACACAGACCCACAGGTATGTGTATGCAGGTATTTGGAGGGAATGCAGAAGGAGGAAAGAATGAGTTTAGTTACAACATAAATATCTAGAGTATTTTATGAATTAATACTCTCTCTTATAATAGACATGTTTCATAACTGTATACTTAGGGGGAAAAACACGGTTTACTTGCTTTGCGGTCAACACAAGCCTTAGGGTTAGAGGTCACATTTCCTGAGAGACTAAGACTCTTCAATAAAACATTTCACTTAACAGAGGATATTTTTTTAATATTTATTTATTTATCTTTAGAGGGGAAAGGAGGGAGAGAGGGAAACATCAATGTATGGTTGCCTCTAGTGCGTCCCCTGCCGGGAACTGGCCTGCAGGGAACTGGCCTGCAACCCAGGCATGTGCCCTGACTGGGAATTGAACTTCGATCCTCTGGTTCTCAGACCTGTGCTCAATCCACTGAGCTACACCAGCCAGGGCTCAGAGGATATTTTTTAAATAATTTAAATTATTATGTTTTAACCATAAAGGTTTATAGAGAATAACATTAGTCCTGATCTTTGAATATTTGCGTCTGTGAGGAGAGATCTGTAAGATACAATGGAGACCAGAGCATAGTCAATTCAGTCTGAATTGAGCCTTTTTAATTCGCAAGTTGCAATATTCTAATCCTTACAGAAGAGCATGGAATTAACAAGGTAACTTTTAGTTGATGAGAGTACATCCTCTCTCTGCAAGGCTTTGAGTCAATATAGACATAATTAAAACGTGCGGTCCCTTTAAATCAAGATAGGCGTGAAGCGCCGACCGGTGTGGCTCAGTGGGTTGAGCAACGTCCCACAAACCGAAAGTCTCCAGTTGGATTTCAGGTCACATGCTCTGGTTGCAGGCCAGGTTCCCTGGTTGGTGGGATGCGAGAGGCAACAGACTGGTGTTCCTTGCACATCGATGTGTCTCTTTCCCACTCTTCCTCCCTCCCTTCTCCTCTAAAAAATAAAATCTTAAAATAGAAGAACAGGGGTGAAAATTCCATGGCTGTTGTCCCATATTTCACTTCTCAAAGACGTTGTGGTTGCACAGACAGGGCCAGTAGAGACAAATGGTTGAACAGTAATGGATTTAGAATTATTTTGGAGTAACATTAATTTTCTTTTTTTTAATAAAGATTTTATTTATTTATATATAGAGGGACAGACGGGAAGAGAAACAGTAATGTGTGGTTACCTCTCATGTATCCTCTACTAGGGACCTAGCCTGCAACCCAGGCACGTGCCCCGAATGGGAATCGAACCAGTGACTCTTTGGTTCACAGGCTGCCACTCGGCCACACCAGCCAGAGCAAGTTGTTTTCTTTCTTTCCTTTCTTATTTTTATATCAATGTATGGTTGTTTCTGGTGCATCCCCTGCTGGGAACTGGCCCCTTCTGGGAACTGGCCTGCAACCCAGGCATGTACCCTGATGGGGAATCGAACCTCGATCTTTTGGTTCGCAGGCCTGTGCTCAACCCACTGAGCTACACCAGCTAGGGCTAGCAAGAAGTTTTCAGAAGGGTGCAATAAGGGAGATGAGGAAATGGAGCCTACTCACACCCTAGGAAACTGGAAGAATCAGGATTCCTACTGACATCAGACTCCGAAGCCATGTTTTTCTTCTGTACAGGACATCCTAGGAGAATGGAGGTTGGTCACATGGAAGCCTATTTCACATTAGGGAATTTTGCCTCTAGGATTTTGATAGGGCTCTTCCTACCCCACCCCCAGACAACCACTTGATAAACACTCGATGACAGTTAACAAACTTTTTTTTATTTTTAGAGAGAGGGAAGGGAGGGAGAAAGAAAGAAACATCCATGTGTGAGAGGAACACAGATTAGTTGCCTCTTGCACACCCCCAACTGGGGACCTGGCTACCAACTCATGCATGTGCCTTGACAGAGACCTTGTGGACTGCAGGACTATGCTTTGCACACTGTGAATGAACTGTAATTTACTCAGCAAAATAGTTATTAGTACCAATCACATATCAGGAATTGTGTCAGATAAAGAATCCAACACTGGCCCTTTTTGATTTCTGAAGTGCAAAGTGACTTAGCACAAATAATACTCAGTTATGAAATTTTGAGTTCCCGTCCTGATTCATTGCCCTCTTCCCTCGGGTCTGTGTGCCGTCCCAGAGCATTTGTTTGGGCTTTGGTTTGGCTTAGAATCCATGAGAGGTTAAGGCATATGCAATGCAAGTGCCAGGAGCTTGTATAACAATTGGTCAGAAAGTTGAGAAGTTACAGAACGGCAGAGGCATGAGAAACAGTGAGGACCCAGGGCAAGGGAGAGAAGAGCCCCATCACTCAGCTGTATTCTAAGTGAGAGGGCCAGTGTGTGAAGAACTGGAGAGGAAGATGGTTCCGTCTGGGTGATGCCTGGACGAGGAAGGAATTAGACACATGTGCGGGGGAATTAAACATGGTTGTATGAGCATCTAGGCACTCGCCCTTCCCCCAGAGTAATCTCTGGGCTGACCCTTAAAAATTAGGAGAAATTAGGGGTAAAAATCTCTTGCCCATTATCTTTCATTCCTACAAATCTTCCTTTTTCTTTTAAACTCGGGTGGAAATTCACATGACGTACAATTGACCATTGTAAAGTGTACAACTCGGTGGCATTTAGTGGCTTCACATGTTGGTGACCACCATGTCTCTGTTGTTCCGCCTTCCCTTTCTTTTCACTACTGGTATTTGACTTTTGTTTTTACCCGAGCTCCTATTCCACCAAGGCTGTCCTTTCTGCTGGGCCCCGGTCCCCAGAATGTCCTCTTTGGACGCAAAAAGAAAACAAAGACTAGCAGGACTTAGACCTGAGAGCAGATGGGTCACATTCCTACCTGCAGTCGCACTCCTCAGCCCAGCAACCAACCCCAGCTTTGGCACGGGGGAGGCGAGGAGACAAGGCCTGCTCCCAATATAAAGGAGGGGCCTTTGTGAAGAAATGGAGAGCACTCACTCCCCAGATTATCCTGGGCTGGTCCCTGATGCAGCTGGGTGCTTCACTTCTCAGCTTTGCATTTGCCCTGGTTTTGGTTTCTAAGCCTTCGACTCCACGGCAGCCTAGGGTGGCAGGCCGATCACCTCTTCTTTCCAAGATGGCACTTGTCACGCCTGTGTATACGAGAATATAATTGCGTTTGTACTCTTCTGTTCACAATGTGCATTGAAAATGTATTGAAGATCATTACTAAAGACAAATAATGCCTCCCTGATGGTCCAGCAGTAGTGCCATCTTTTTTAAGTCCCTGCTCAGTTAACAGCAATACTTCTAGAAGCTTCTGCCATGACCTCCAGACAGACATCAGTTAACTGGTACAGTCCTCAGCATTTTTAATACCACTTTGAAGACCAGTATCACCAATGTGTGGTAACTGTTCCTAGTTGGTTACTTTAACTATATGGTGAGACCCTCAGGGGCAAGGAATATGCTTTCTTCATTTTTTAAATGCTAACTCAGTGCCTGGTACTTATTATACACAGTAAGTCCTGGAAGAAGAAAAGGGTCTATTCTAAGCTCCACCGTGCGCATGCTGGATTCACCCTCCATGGAACCAGTGAAGGGAGCAGAACTTTTCCTGGCTTCTTCTTGAGAACCGAAACAGAGCCATCAGAACGAATCAGCTCTGATCTCCTGGACAGCGCAGGCCCAGGCAGCTTCCTTGGATACTGACAGCAGAACACGGGAATTGACCAGAATGGTGCTATCACGCAGTTGGGCCAAAGCGTCCCTCCTGGTTTGTGAGTCACCACTCATACTATGAAAAAATCCCACGTAGAAGCTGCAGCACTTCTGTTCCCACTCTGTTTCTAAAATTGCTGTTACTGAGATCAACAGTGACTTTCTAATTGCTAAACCCGCTGGCCACTCTTCAGTCCCCATCCTCCTTCCTTTTTTAGAACATTTGGACACTGTGGACCATCTCCATCTTCTAGAAAAGCTCTGCTGTGTCAGTTAAGACTGATTTGGGTTACAAATAATAGACAATTTGTCTAACAGTTCCCTTAAAACACATGAACATTCATTTACTTAAAAAGAAGTCCCAAAGTGGGCAATTCCAGGCTCACTTAGAAGCTCCACTACGTGTTGTCTTCATCTTTGTTTGCTGTTACATTTATGGTCACAAGATGACAATGGTGGCTGTAGACCGCCTGTCTTCCTCTGTTGGCTCAAAGGAGTTCTCCATATCCTGCCCCCTCTCCTTGACTTCAGATCACCACTCTTGTCTGGCTTTCCGGGTAGGACAGCTGTTGGCTGAATTCTAGTTTTCTTCCTGGCCCCTTGGATTCATGTCCTGTTTGGATAATTTCCCTAGCTTTCCGCATCAGTTTCTCTCAAGACACAGCTTTGACCAGATTCTTCGACTTGTCCTTAGGCACTGCAGATCCTCAGCAAGTTACTTCTTGCCTGCGACCTTGAATCTGGGCCCTAGAGGGATGTCATACCCTAGAGGAGATGTCAGTGCCTCCAGCTGGCAATTGTCTCCCTCTTGAGCTGCCCTGACTTCTGGGAGGAAGCAGTTCACATATCTGCCTTCTTCTCTCCATGTTCCCTGCTTGACCAAATCCTCATCATAGCTCTCTTTTCTTTCCCTTTCTCTCTTTTTCTTTTCTTTCTTTTCTTTTTCTTTCTTTCTCTTTCCTTCCTTCCTTTTTTTTCAATCCTCACCCTAGGATAGATTCATTGGTTTTTTTTTTCCTTCTAATTTTAGAGAGGGTAAGGGAACAAGGGAGAGAGAAACATCTTTGTGAAGGAGAAACATTGAGTCAGTTGCCTCAGGCAGGGGCCTCAACCAAAGAATTACCCAAAACCTAGGTTATGTGCCCCGACCAGTAATGGAACCCACAGCCATTTTGGTCTACAGGCTGATGCTGCAACCGAGCCACCTGTCCAGGGCTGCACCCTCATCACAGTTTTCTAATCAGGCCCTCCCTCTAGTCTTTAGCCACTCCAGCCAGCCATCCTCCTCACTGCCAATCTCCTCTTTAATGCACAGGTTCCTTCACAGTACCTGTCTTATCAAACCTCTAATAGCTTTTCGTTGCCTTTCACAATTGGATTCAACCTGCCTTGCTACCAGTAACTCCCTGTTCTGCCACTCCTCTGCTGAACTGTAAGCTCCTTCTGGGTACGGAGCACGCCTTTTCTTCTTTGTATCTTTATTTTCTAATATACTGCCTTGCACACAGAAGATCCTCAATGCATATTTGCTGATGGATACATGAACTCCAGCTGCATTGAACTCTGAAATTTCTTTGGCTGTACCATGCTCAAATACCACTTTCTCTGAAAGTGTTCCCTGTCATTCAAGTGTTATGTATGTCTCCATGCATTTCCCCCCTTATTAGACTGTAAGCCCTTTAAGGAAAAGAGCACACCTTATTCATCTTGCATCTGATCCAGTGTTGAGAAGAGTGTCTGGTGCAGAGCAGGCCTATGGGCAGTTTGTTGGATAGATGAAGGGAGGATACTAGAGGGCGAAATATGAGCCGTAAAGAAGGTCTCCGTGTAGTGAGACAGACTGAAGAAATGACCTAAGAATAGTGAAAACAGGGATCAACAAGGATACATAATTAAGTAGTCAGACGGTAATGTAGAACTGAATAATTTGAAAAAAGCGTGAGCGTGTGTGTGCAGGGGGGAGACTGCCAATCCGGAAAGATCCCTAGGAGTGAATTTTGAAATGTGTTCGAAAAGAGGAGAGGGACAGAACTTGGATGAGCAGGAGATGAGAAACACGTGGTGGAGCTGGGCTGAACCAGGACGTGGTGAGCACCGAGTGTGTCTGCAGCTTTCTGAGCAGGATCTGTTCTGCACCAGAACTCAAGTCCTGCCTTTGTCCTGGCTCAACACGCAGGCGGGTTCACCCACTCTCTATGTTTTGATGTTTCCTAGGTCAGCCCAATGTAGGACTGTATGTTCTCTCAGTTTCTGGAAGAATAAGCAAACAGAACTGTCCTGTTTTGCTAACCCTGGTTCTCTAGGGAAATAACTTTCCTGTTCCCAATAAAATAGAACTGCTCCCAGGGGTGTGAAGTCAGGAGAGAAACCCAAAGGCAGTATTAAGCACTTTAGCACATCCTCACAGAAATTATCTTTGTGTGTGTGTGGTGGGGGGGTAGATGAGGATCCCGAGAGCTCAAGGATGGCTGAGCTCTGAGGAAGAGAGCTTGACAGCAAAATCTTGTTATAGCCACATCTGTGCCCCCTTCGCAGAGAGCGTATGTGCAGGTGCCCAGGAGGCTGCACAGCCACCTCCTAGGGCTCAAATCACCGCAGCCTGCAGCACTTGTGGAACAGAAAACACAGATTATTCTACTCCCTAAACATGTCCCCGCTTTAGGAATCAGAACCTTTTATACAGCGGGAGGTCCATGTGAAGCCCCACGTAGGCTCCTGACCCCGGGAGATGGCATCTGTCCCCCTGCTACTTTTCATGCAGGGTCCATCCCCCCCCAGAATGTTGGGTGCCCGCCACACTCGTTTCCTGGATACCCAGCCTTCCGATCTCCCATGGAGGCAGGAAAACTGCGGCCGCTGTCGCGCACCGCGCGTTTTCAGGGGTGGGTTCGGGGCACCGCGGCTCCTTCTCACCGGCCCCCGCGCGTGCAGCTCGCAGGTCGCGCGGTCAGAGCGCAGGGCCCGCAGAGGAGCGTCCAGGCCTGCGCCGCGGGCTCCCCGGCGGCACAGCCTCCGTGCCGCTCAGGCCCCGGGGGCGGCGCACACCCGGCCCTGCCGTGATGTCACACTGGCCCGGCTGACGCCGCACGGCCGGGCCCCCGCCGCTGCAGCCACCGAGCCTCCTGCGACCGCCGCTGGTCGGTCGGCGGGCCGGTGGCGGGAAGCCGGCCCCACCTGGCCCCCACCCGGCCCCCACCCGGCCCCCAGGCGCCCGCCCGGAGGCCGCCGCGCCACTTCCGCCCCAGTAGGTGTCATGGCGCGGGGCGGGGCGGGGCGGGGCGCGCCGCGGGGCGGGGCCGGCAGGATGGGGCGGCCGCTCGGCGCTCGTCTCGTCGGGCCTGGCGACAGCGGCTGTGGTGCGAGGGGCCCGGCGGCGGCCCGGGACGGCTGCGGGAGGCCGAGGCGGGAGCCCGAGGGGCTGAGGCGGCGGCCGGGGCCGGGCGGCGGAGCCAGCCGGGCGCGGAGGGGCTCCCCCCGCGGGACGGGCGCGGGGCGGCTCCGGGGGGCGGGGGCCGGGCCGGCGCGCGCCGGGTATGATGACCCGGCGGCGGGGCCCCGGATCGCGTCTCCTCCGCCGCCTGCTCGCGGCGGCCCCAGCTCGCGGCTGAGAACCAGACACACCGGCGGTGAGTGGCCCCAGGCGGGAAGAGTCCTGGGCCGGGAGCGGCCTCCGATCCGCGCCCCGAGGGGGCCGGGCGGGCCGCGGGCTCCGGACTGGCCTGCGGGGTGGGGGGGCCTCCCGCGGAGCCCCCATCGGACCGGCGCTCTGGGCCGGGAGGGACCGCGTCCCGCGTCCCGCGTCCCCGGGAGAGCCAGCGAGCTCCGGGCTCGCCCTCGGGGCAGTTCCCGCGGCCCGGCGGGTCGTTGTCCTCGGATGACAGGGCTCCCGGCGGAGCGTGTCTCGCCGGCGCCGTGTGCGACCCGGGAGCGGGGTGGGCTCGGCGGGCGGCGCGGAAGCCTCCCTGCGCCCGGCCGGTGGGCTTTCACCGTTGGGTTCGCCGTCCCCCAACTACGGGGCCACGGCGCGGGGCCCGCCCGGCGAGGGCGCCTCTGCGCCGGGCGGCTGCGGAGGTCCGACCGGGAGGGAAACTTTGCCTGTGTGTTGTCACTGTCCCGAAGCTTCCGTCAGGGCGAAGGGGCGGGGGCGGAGGAAACGGCCCGGGCTCCCGGCTGCAGCCCGCACCTTCCCGGGTCTGCGGGAGGGAGGCCGGGGGCGCCTAGCAACCGACCCCGGAGGTCGGGCCGCGGCCGGTGTGACCGCACTCTTTCCCGTTTCGGGGGGCGGGAGGGGCTGCGGGAGGGAAAACAGCCCTGAGCTGCGGCGCGGCCGCCCCTCCTTCGGTGGCCCTAGGCGCTCGCTCCGGGAGTTTTCAGTGATGGCATCAGAGTAATCCTCTGACCTGCAGACTCTCCTGCCCAATCTGCCCTTTATCTCGTCTGTCTCCTAGTAACTCTGATGCAAACAGCAGTGTGGCTTCCTGCTCCTGATGAAGTGGGTTAAATTAAGTGGCTGATGCCCTCAGCAAAACCTACAATTTTGCTGTTGTTTATGGAAAGCTATTTTTGATTCTTGGTCTGCCTTTTTTTAAAAAAGATTGCAGAGGATGCAAATCATTACCAGCTTTTTTCCACATATAGGTCTAAAACTTTCTGGAAAACATTTTTTAAAAAGCTCCTAGAAAGTCATTTAATAGTTGCTGAGCTGGTGATTTGAGACCTTCACACGTCATTATGTCGGGGTGCTGCGTTCCGTGGCACGGGGTGCTGTGATGAAGTCTGTGGCTCACTGTAAGATACTGCTCTTGGCTCGAAGGATGTTTTGGTAAAGTAGTTGTGGTTGCAACTGGAGGCAGCCGAGCCAGGAAAGGTCTGGCGATCGCAGCGGTGAATGAGATCTCGTCAACATAGGGGCTCGGTCAGTAAGTAGGACTTGTTCTGGTGGTGTTTTCGTGAACAGTTTACCCTGACTTTGAATACTAGTTTTATGGATGGTAGAGCAAGTTGATGATAACTTGGGATTTCAAACCAAGCCAGAAGTCCCTTTAAAAGAAAAAAAAATCTCCAAGTTCCCAATCCTCAGGAAAATAGAATTCTCTCACTCTGTGGTTTTGTTCTCATAAGCACAGCTCACTGGTTTTGTTGGTAGAAATCAGTGAGCCGTACCTGCCTCCTAAACTTCGGCCACTGGGGAACTTGTGCAACTTGTTGTTAGTTGAATATTGTAGCTGGTCCTTTGGTAATTGGAAGTAATTTGTAAACATGAACTTCCCCGTCTGCTCTTTCATTTTCATTTCACAACTGTATAAAGCACCCATTAATTTTTTTCAGTGTTTTTAAAGTTACAATTATTAATTCCTCCCCAGGTTTTTCCCGTACATTTCATGCCACTTTGAATACTAGTCATCAGTCAATTTTCCTTCAAGTATCACTTCAACAATCACTGATTTGCTTTTTGATTCCTTTTCTGATTTGTGTTCCAACTCTCCCAGCTCCCTAAATAAATGCCTTGTGTATTTTTGTAGAGCATAATTTGGCACTTAAAGAAATTTACATTTTGTTTTTATATTTTTCTCTTTCTTGTTTGTCATACCAGCAAAGTAACATTCTAAGCTCTTGGGAGACAGGAAAACTGAGATGTGTTCCTTTTGGATTCCTTAAGGGCACCTGGTGCAGTGCTCTCCCAGAGAGCTTTGCAAAAGAGAATCAGAGTTCTTTGCCAGCATCTCTGCACATTATCTCTGTAAAACTTGTCTGGCTTTCTTGGGTCTCCTTTTTCTTATTTTGGAATTAGGGAGTTTTAGGAAGAGTATTATAAGGTCTGTTTTAGCTGTAAAAACCCCTATATTTGTTAACCAGTGTCTTCTCCAATCAGATACATTTTTTTATTCTGATTTTTCTCCCTCCTCTCTGAACAGTTTTCCACATCCCTTGCAGACTGGCAGGAGTCATCTCATTCATCTTAAGAGCTCTTTCCCCCTCCCACCTGCCAAATGGTTGTTACTTTGTTTGGTTTGGGCCCTGTGTTCCTTGGGCCCTGGCTGGCTGATCTAAACAAGGTCCTCTTGAAGTGTCTGTTTCAGAGTGAGTTGTGTTTTAATTTGACACTCTCTCCTTACTCTGTTCAGACCAGTATACTGTCCTGTGCACATACTAAGATAGTATCTTTTTATCAAACACAAAAAAAACACCTTTTTTGTTCCGTTACTAGAGATTTGCCCTTCCAAATCTAAGGGAGCTACTGACATTTAAGAAACAGAATCCTGCCTAGAAGGAAAGCACCCCTCGGCCAGTTTACCAAAAAATTACAAAATTGGTTTATGTGGCTGGCAATTATAGAATTGCAGAGTTAGGCCTTCGCCAGCTGACACCACCTATTTCACAGCCTATTTTTGTGTCCTGGTTGGGGAACAGGCTTGTTTCACGTGGTTCCCTGTGAAGGAAGCGGTAGGTGCAGGAAAAGGGGGTGGAGAGCTTTGCTTCAAATAGTGTCCTTACCATTTCAAGCTTATTTTTCCTTCTGTATTACTAGACTTAGAAAATCAATTAATATGTATGAATTTTTTCTTGTAGGCAAGAGACTGTTGTATCTCATCATGTATTTCTCTAACTTAGTGAATGACTTCTGAGATCCACTTAACATTTACAAACACATGGAGAAGCAGTGTGTTTTCTAGACAGACACTCATTCTAGCAAACATTCAACACACACCATGTGCCAAGTATTGTGATAGATGCTGGTGATATTTTTTTTAAAAAAAGGGCACCTCATCACCTCATCTGCTGTTGAGATCTGCCCTCATGACCCTTGCAGGTCAGAAGTCAACTCTTAAATCAGTAATTACAAAAAGTACTACTTAGAATGAAATCCAGAGTGGCCCACAAGCCATGAGCTCCTGTCTACCCCTTTGGGCCTGGTTTCTGTCATTTTCTCCCTGGTTCCATTCCACCTGCACTGGTCTTTTTCAAACAGGCGAGGACAGTGCCAGGCAGATAGACGTGCTTGTTCAGCGAGTAGGTGAAATGAATGAGCACGAGTGTAGTAGCGTGCAGTAGTAGGGATGCAGTGGGAGGCTTTAGCAGCAAACCTCCTCTGGTATGAAGTGGTCCGGGGAAGGCTTTCCCAAGGATGTTCGTCAGTGTAAGGCTGTATAAACAACATTCTAGCTGTAGCAGAAAGTTCTCTGATGTACCAGCCTGAATGTGCCAGCTTCAAGTGAGTGGTCCTGGTGGGCGGGCCGCTCTGCTCTGCATGACCCTTCAGGGATCCATGTTCCCTCTGTCTTGTTGCTCTGCCGTCCCGTGGGCCCTATTTCGTGGTGGAAGCTGGGTCTTCATGGGTTCCTGTGGGGGGCAAAGGGAAAGGAACACGAGCCTCACCCATGCATCACTTCCTGTCGGAGAGAGGGACTGGTGACCACAGTCCAGCCTGGGGTGAAGAAGAGAGTAGTGCCACACTGAAAAGCCAGCTGTAGGCACAGACCAAAAGGATGAGTAGAAGTTAGAAAAAGAGAAGGCTGAGGGGGAAGTGTGTTCCGGTGAGGGAGCACAATGTGCGAGGCAGCCAGGGTGGCAGAAGGCAAGGCCTGCCCTAGGCACCCAGGGAAATGGAGCACTTCTGGAAGAGAGTCCCCAGGAAAGGGCGGATGAGACAAGGCTGCAGAACCAGTCCCCCTCCAGATCTCGCAAGGCCCCCGGATCCAAACTAGAGGTGTTGGGCTCTATCTGAAGGTGAGGTGGGGCAGGTAGGCATTTTTAAAAGTTTGCGTTGTAAGAAGGGAGAAAGGAGCATCAGAAGGGTCTTGAGAGTCCCTTGGGGGAGACATTGTAGACTGTTGATGTTAGCAGTCCAGAGCCACGCAGCAGGCGGAGAGAAAAGTGGGTGGAGTAGAGAGAGGGGTGCTGTTCTGGCAAAAGAATTTTCTTGCAAACTTGTCTTGCTTAATTTCTACAGAATGTTTTTTTTGTTTACCTACTTTGATGATAAGAATGCTTTTTATATATCATCTCAGGTAAGACAAGTGCTAGAAGAAATCAATATATAGTATTGATTTTAGGTTATTGACCATTCTTGGACTATAAGATGCACCCCCCCAGAGGTAATCAGCTGATGTTTCCCTTGCACAGTAATATTTCTTCCCTCTCTTTCTCCCTCCCTCCTCCCCTCACTGAAAATAAATAAATAAATAAAAATTTTTTTTAAGATGAAAGTGACTGAAGACTATGGGCAAAATACCGACAAGTAATTACCTTGGTTGTCATACCCAGTTGTTCTGATCCTGGTTGTAATATTTGGAATTTTTATAGTAAGATTATCCATCTGTAGTGACTTAGTGTGGGGCACCCCCCAGTACAACGTTGTCAAATAGATACGACCATTACAGGGAGTGGGGAAGCTGTTACTTTACTGTTTTCAAAAGCCTGAGATTCTTGCAAGACTCAGTTCTCTTCTTAGTAAGTATAAGTACCAGTGGCCTTTTGCCTTTAGTTTTAGTTCGGGATTAATGTGGTGGGCAAATTTGTCATTGTATTTAAATGGTTAAACCTTTAAGAAAGTCAGGTTTGAAATGTGAAGACTAGTTTATTGCGGGAGGTGGGAGTCGAGGTGCAACATTTTCAGGAAGTTGGAAATAACTTCTAGTTTATTGGGAGCTGTTCTCCTGTGAACTGAAAATATATTCGTAGTTGAGTTTTGGGAGATTTTTGACTGTGCAGAGGCCTAGTGCCCATGACGCTCCCCAGCCCCGCCCCCACCATTGTTCAAGAGTCAACTGCAATTTCCTTACCAGAGAGGTCTGATACATAGTAAGTTTCCCACAGATGGTAACTGTGTTTCATCATTTTCCCTGGGAGGTCTCAGCCTGGGAAGAAAATTACCTCTCCGGTTGCAAAGGCAAATCTGATGGAACATAGTATCTTCATCCTGTGTCTAGAAATGGCTGTTTTTAGCTGAACTTCAGAATGCTATGTAAATAAGAGTGTTGATTTTTGTAGGCAGCTTTGATTCTCAGTTTTCTCCTCCCCTGGCGCTCACCGAGGTTGGCCTGAGCCTCAGTCACTGTGAGAACCTTGGCGGCGTGAGGCTGATTTCGGTGCTGCGCACGCTGGCTGTGGAAGGCGGGTGAAGCTCTGGGTCATTCTTTTCCTGTGGGTGGACTTAAGTTGTCTTACCGAATAAGAATTATATTCATTTTTACACGGAAACTTTGAGGAAAATTTTCAAGAACTTGGGCTTTTTGCAGCACTGTATGTGAACATTCTAAACCATCAGTGTCTGTTCATTTGTTTACTGGAGTCTGATAAATGCAGTATTTTTGAAAAGTGGCTACTTAGGGACATACTTTTAAAAATTAGGCATTACATCTTATGAATTCTTTTCCGTATTTTAAGCCCACATATTCCTAGACATAACTAAAAACTGCAAATTTTGTATTTCAATTCTTTTACTAAGTAATTTTACTAAGAGAATGTCCCTTTATGTGCTTATGGTTTTTAAATTAGTAGCTCAACAGACAGTGGAAAACAAATTTTGCAAATCTATTTCCTTTCTTGTTCAAAATTAGCTCAATTTTATGATGACATATTTTTGTAGGTAAATTTTGTAAAGGCAACTACTACATGATTGCAGATTTTTCTTTTATTATAATTTAGGGGTTTTTTTCTTTGCAGAGAGTTTTTATTCACTCTCCAAGAAAGGAGAGGGCCTTGGTGTGGAGAGAGATGCCAGCAGTGAGGGTGTGGGCTTTGCGCTTTTGTTGGCTATAATTGGATTAAAAAAGGGTGTGCTGTTGTGAAGCCCCTGGGCTGTTGGGCGGTTTCACTGGGGGCTGCAGTTTGACCCAAGGTTATCTTCTGCCTGGAGCTGTGGGGAGTGGTGGGTTCGGTCCTTCCCGTAATTTCCAGCCCTGGAATGCCTGCTATGAACCTCGTGACCAAACCCAGGTGCCAGGCCTAGTGGCTCTAATTGGCTTTGTAAGTCAATCTTAATTCCTTAAGGCTTTCTGGTGACACCCAGAGTCCCAGGAATTCTAGATACCGGCTGTGAAGAGGTGAGGAGGAGGATGTCAGCAGAGTCTGGAGACCAAGAAGCATGAGCATCCTCTCTCCCCACCTCGCAGAGATGGGGCTCAGGGTCAGCCCCAGTGGAGGCTTCACTCCACCGCTCCCCTGGTCCCAAGTCTGAGGCCGGAGGAGAGGGAGGAATGAGAACGTCCCTGTACGGGCCACCAAATGCTAGGGTGGTCAGTGACATGGACTGCGAAAGAATTCACAAAGAGAGCACAGTGTAGAGAATACAGTTTTTATTCACTCTCTGAGCAAGGAGAGGGCCACACTGTAGAGACCTGCACCAGCCTATCCTAGCTCGGTATTATGTCAGCGGTACAGGAAGGACAAGTTGACATGTAAATTCATGGCCTTGCAGTTGAATTGCACTCACTCTGGCCTTTAATTTGCACTTTTTTTTTTTCTTTTGGAGGTTCATCTGAATTATGGAAACTCTTGTTTGAAGTAAATGCAGACTGCATTTTTCAAAATTGAAGGCTGAGGATTTGTTTGTTCCAGCTGTCTCGTCCAGTGCAGATGGTTTTTAGTTGTATTCAGGCTCGAAGAAATGTACACGTTGCTTTTTTATGTCCAGTAACGTCCTTTGCCCTGCATTCTTCCTTTGTAGTTATATGTTTGTTCTCTTACGAGTAGTAAAATTACACTGTGTGTATCGGAGTGGAGCGTCCCCCCTTTCTTTAGGATGCACAGCTGAAAGGCGGGGACTTTAGAAACCAAAGCCAGCAGCACTTGGAAGTGCTGCAATGGTTTAGTGCGAGTGGTAGCCACCCAGCAAATACTGAATGTCTGTACCGCGAGAGCCCATGTCAGGTTCTGGTGCTACGAAACAAGGAACAGGACAGATGTGGTACCTGCCCTCTCTCATGGAACTTGTCCTGCAGCTGGAGTGGAATAAATCATTTCACGTTATAAGGGAGGAACAGGGCGCTCTGGGAGTGCGTGGTGTGGGGCAGAGGTGGTGGGGACCATGTGGGGAGTGCGTGGGTATGTGTGAACAGTTTTCCCAGCAGAAAAATCTATGTTGAATTAGAAGGCCTTCCAGAAAACTCAAAGGAGGGCAGTATGGATGGAAGGGAGGATTCAAGGTGGGGAGATTTTGGAAAACGGCAGCCAAAAACCTCTTTTGGAGAGTTTAGGGTTTTTTTTTCAATCCTCACCCAAGGATGTGCTTAATTGATTTGAGAGAGCGAGGGAGGGCAAGAGAGCAAGAAACATCAGTGTGAGAGAGAAGCAACAAGTGGGCGCCTCCTGCAGGCGTGATCAGGGGTGGAACCCACCACTGGGAACTTGCGCCCTGGCCGGTAATCAAACCCACAGTCTTTTGGTGTGTATATCACAAGGCTGCAGCCAGCTCCGCCACCTGGCCAGGGCAGTTTGGGGGAGCTTTTCCAGGCAGGCTGAGGATTTTGGACTCCCCACGGCAGTGGAAACCTGGGGGACTGGTGGAGGGAGAAGGCTTTGTTTGCATCATGCGGAGACTTTCCTTCTTGAAAAAGCGAGAGCTGTTACCTAGTTTGCTTGGACGTCTCCCTCCCCTCCCCCACTTCCCTGCACAAGGTTGAGATTAGTTCAGAGGCTTCTGGAGGTCTGAATGAACTAGAATGGTTCCCACAGGGGTAAAGAAAAATGCCTGGTTTGAGATACACTTAGGAGGAAGAATTGAAGATTTGGTTATAGATTAGATATTGGTAAGGGAGAGGACTGAGTCAGGATACCCAGAGTGAATGAGTTCCAGGCACTATTACATGTATTAAATCTTTACATTCTCACGTAACTTCACGAGGTGGGTATTGCCATCAGTGTTTTGTAGATAAGGAAGCAGACCCTTTGCCTCCCTGATTTTGCCTTGAGGTGTTGGGTCTCCGCTGGTGTCTCATAATTGAGAGAGAAACCTGGGGTTGGTGGAGGCTCAGCTTACTTTAGAATTTGAGGTGTCTTTAACATATCCAAGTTGCAGCATGAAGTGGTTTTTTGGAAGTAAGGATTTGGGGTTCAAGAGAGAAATCTGGGTTGGAGGTAGAGCTCTGAGAACCCTTTGCACACGACTCATCCTGGGAGGTAGTCATCGAAGGGGGGCGGTTGTGGGGCAAGGGAGGAGGAATTGGTATAAAGCTCCAAGGCATCTGGAGGCTCTGTTGCTGAGAAGGGACAAGATAAATATGAAGTGGCTTGTATGCCATGTCAGGTGATCGGACTTTATTCTGAAAGTATCCGCTTTGGGTTCAGTCTTTGGACGAATCGAGCCTGAGGTGACAATGGGACAGAAAGGTGGTCTGCCTTTCCCCCTTTAAAAAAAAATATTTTATTTATTTATTTGTAAAGAGAGGGAAAGGGAGGGAAAAACAGAAGGAAAGAAACATCAATGTGTGGTTGCCTCTCGCACATCCCCCACTGGGGACCTGGCCCACAACCCAGGCGTGTGCCCTGACTGGGAATCGAACCAGTGACCCTTTCTTTTGCTCTCCAGCACTCAATCCATTGAGCCATGGCAGCCAGGGCTCCGCTTACTTTTCTGAGAATAACATCCTGTGTTTCTAGAGAAGATTCCTTCCAGGCTTTGTGTTAGTTTCCCAGCAGTCCTTTTACAGTGCCGTGCACGAAACTAGACACTCTTCTCTGCGGGATCTGATCAGAATGGACGGCCTGCACATTATCCGCCGCGTTCCAGTCACTGTCTCTATGAATATTGTTTAAGTTAGCCTCTGACATGAGAGGAACGTTATAATGTTTCTCTAACCAACCGAAGTTGGTTTTCATGCATTTGATGCTAAACCTTGTCTCTCATCCTGGTGCTTCATGCTCATATTTTGGATCTAAGTAGGAGTCTGTATTTGTGTTAAATTTAATCTGCTGGGTTTGTCTTGTGGTGTCTACCCTACGGTGATCTCTCTGGGCTTGTTATTTAGTAATATTGACTGTCCGGCCCAAATTTGGTCCATCTGTGAATTTTATAAGTATGCCATCTTGTGTCTAAATGTAAATAATCATTTAAAGAGTTAATCGGGGTAGGGGTGAAGACGGACCTGTAAAGTGAGTTCTGTGGCCACAGGGCCTGGGTTTGAATTACAGTGCTGCCTGCCACTTAGTAGCTGTGTTGTTTTGGGCAAGTGACTTTATCCACTCTGTCCCTTAGTTTCCTCATCTAGACAGTGGAAATAAGGATAGTTTCTGTTTCAAAGGGTTGTGGTGGGGGTTAAGTGAGTAACGCTTGTGAAGAGCTTAGACTACTAGGCAGTAGGTGATCAATCATCTTAACTGTGATGTTATTTTTTATAAACCATCATAGAGTTTCTACTCCTTTAACCATATGTCCTATTATTGCTGAATTTCAAAGAGCTATTAGGGATGTGTAATTAGACCATAAAGTTTATCCCTCTATAACAGAAAACATATTTTTGAAAATGCATAACATGAAACCCAGCCAGATGTGTTTACTTGGGGTTCTTCTAAACCAAAAGTTTCCTTGGACGCTGGTTGAGGGGTTGTCTAAAACCGAGGTCTGAGTCTTCCTCTCTCTCCTGCAGGTATGGCATCGCAGCTGCAGGTGTTCTCCCCCCCATCAGTGTCGTCCAGTGCCTTCTGCGGTGCGAAGAAATTGAAAATAGAGCCCTCCGGCTGGGATGTTTCTGGACAGAGCAGCAACGACAAATATTACACCCACAGCAAAACCCTCCCAGCCACACAAGGGCAAGCCAGCTCCTCTCACCAGGTAGCAAACTTCAACATCCCTGCTTATGACCAGGGCCTCCTCCTCCCAGCCCCTGCCGTGGAGCACATCGTGGTGACGGCTGCTGACAGTTCGGCCAGTGCCGCTACGTCGACCTTCCAGAGCAGCCAGACCCTGACTCACAGGAGCAACGTTTCTTTGCTTGAGCCATATCAAAAATGCGGATTGAAAAGAAAAAGTGAGGAAGTGGACAGCAACGGTAGCGTGCAGATCATAGAAGAACATCCCCCTCTCATGCTGCAAAACAGGACTGTGGTGGGTGCCGCTGCCACGACCACCACTGTGACCACAAAGAGTAGCAGTTCCAGTGGAGAAGGGGATTACCAGCTGGTCCAGCATGAGATCCTTTGCTCTATGACCAACAGCTACGAAGTCTTGGAGTTCCTGGGCCGGGGAACGTTTGGGCAGGTGGCTAAGTGCTGGAAGCGGAGCACCAAGGAAATCGTGGCTATTAAAATCCTGAAGAACCACCCCTCGTATGCCAGACAAGGACAGATCGAAGTGAGCATCCTCTCCCGCCTAAGCAGTGAGAATGCGGATGAGTATAATTTTGTGCGTTCTTACGAGTGCTTTCAGCATAAGAATCACACCTGCCTTGTGTTCGAGATGCTGGAGCAGAACTTATATGATTTTCTAAAGCAGAACAAGTTCAGCCCACTGCCACTCAAGTACATCAGACCAATCTTGCAGCAGGTGGCCACAGCCCTGATGAAGCTCAAGAGCCTTGGTCTTATCCATGCTGACCTTAAGCCAGAAAACATAATGCTGGTTGATCCAGTGCGCCAGCCCTACCGAGTGAAGGTCATTGACTTTGGTTCTGCTAGTCACGTTTCCAAGGCTGTGTGCTCGACCTACTTGCAGTCACGCTACTACAGGCAAGTGGCAAATGCTGAAAAGCTAACCTTACCAAGATCTTTCTTTATGTTTAATATGTGTTTACATAGGGATATATAGAACAATGAATTTACTTACAGGTTCCAAGCAAGATATAAATAGGCAAATCATTTGGTTTGTGTGTGTGGCATTCCTATAAGTGGCATTATTTTATGACTAAAATCTTATTTGACAATGGAAAGGTTAATTCAGTCTGATCTTAAGGTCGTGTTTAGTTGAATTATGTCGTTGACCCCTGAACAACAGGGCAGTTAGGGGGGACCTGCATGTAACTTATGACTCCCCCAAAACTTAAGTTGATTTTCTGTATCCGTAGGAGATTAGTTCCAGGACCCCTGCTGATACCCAAACTGACAGATGCTGGAGACCCTTTTACGAAAAGGTGTAAAGGAGATGAATGCATACAGTTGGTCCTCCGCAGTACGGGACTCCCAGTGTCAGACTGAAAACAGTACAGATATTTATTGAGAAAAAAGTCTGCCCCGAGGTGGGCCCTTGCAGTTCACACCCTTGTTGAAGTGTCAACTGTACTAGTGTCTGGTTTTCTTTAGTCTTATTATACCTAATTTTCCCATTTAAAAGACTTTAAATATGTAAAGATGTTTACTTATTTGGAATGAATTTGGGCATGGGCTGCTATTTTTTCTTTTTTTTTATGCTGCTACTTTTTCTAAGTTCCTATCCTGGCAGGTAAGATGCCTGGGGAATAATTCCAGGTTTAACTACAGCAACATTTTATTCTTTCACATTTTCTGTCTTGCCTAGTAAAGGGAATTAGATTGGATGATTGCTAAGGTCTCCTCCTGTTTCAACATTCTCTTCTCTCTGATACTTTGATAACTGACTTGGTTGCCCTACAGTGGTCTCCACTCCAGTGAAGTGCTGGTATTCACACGGGTGGGCGGAAGTGGGTTTGCAAATGTGAGTATGCAAAAACAGTTTATTCTGGTATATTATTTATTACCTATTAGATCAGGCTGGCCAAAAAGTCCGTTACATTTTTTCTGTACAATGGCTGTAATAGTGCTTAGTTGTCTTTAACTTCATTCGAAACAATTTTGTTAGATAGTATTATATAGCTGTTATATCAGCATGCGTTTTAAAAAAACTTATCAAAATTGGTGAATTTTTGCGCAGCCATTTTAATATTAGGAAGATGGAAGAAGATACGCAACATTTTTGGTGTGTTGTGCTTTAGGTAAAACATAACTGAAACACTAAGATTTGTGTAGTGTATGGAGAAGGTGCTGTGACTGATCAGAAGTGGTCTGCAGAGTTTCTTGGTACCATTGACATCTTGGCCAAATGATTCTTTGCTGTGGGGCTGTCTTATGCCTTGGAAGGTGTTTGTTTAGTAGCACCCCTGGCCTCTACGCGGTAGAAGCCAATAGCAGGAGGTGGCCGGCATACTCAGAACATCCAGGTCAATAAAGTTATTGGTGAAAATGCAAAATGTGTGTCTTTTATTTTACTGAAAAAGCTAAGTGGACTCTTTGGCCAGCCCCAAATTATTTTCCATACAGACAGCTCTTGTCTGCCCAACCCTGTACAATTCTGTCTGTACTATAATCAAGGACTGTTGGTGAAAGAAGAGGGGAAAGTCTTTTTTATTTCATTGAATATTTCTAGAGAGAGGAAGGAAGCAAGAGAGAGAGAAACATCCATTTGCTGTTCCACTTATTGATGCATTCACTGGTTGCTTCTTGTATGTGCCCTGACCTCAGATCGAACCCACAACCTTGGCTTATCAGGACAAGGCTCTAACCCACTGAGCCAGGGAGAGGGGAAAGAAAGCCTTTTAAAAATGAACTTTTATTTCTCAGTACATTTATTTATCTAAGTATAATTGTAGTAAAATTCACCTCATATGAAGTTTACCATCTTAATGATTTATTTTTTAAGAGTACTATTTCATTGTCATTAAATAGATTCATGATGTCGTGTAACCATCACCATTTCCAAAATTTTTTCAGAACCCAAAACAGAAACTCTGTAACCACAGAGTAGTAGCTCCATCTTTCCCCCCACCCCTGTTAACCTCTGTGTGACTGTTTCTGTGAGTTTGCCTAGTCTACATACTACATATGGGTGAAAACGTACATTTGTCCCATTGTGCCCGGCTTATCTTACTGTATATCCATACTGTAACATGTATCAGCATTTCATTCCTTTTCACGACCAAATAATATGCCATTGCATGTATATCTAGCACATTTTGTTTATCCATTCATTTGTTGATGAACACTGGGTTGTTTTCAATTTTTTGGCTATTCTGAGTAATGCTGCAGTGAACGTTGGTATTCAGTTGCCGAAGTCTCTGTGTTCAGTTCTTTGGGTGTGTAGTTGGAGGTAGGATGGCCGAGTCTCAGGTAATCCCATGCTCACGGGTTGGAGGAGCCACCTGCTTCCCTCGGCTGCTGTGCTGTTTCACATCCTGTCAGCGGTGCGTGAGGATTCTGGTTTCTCCACGTCCTCACCAACACTCGTCATTTTCCGTTTTTTTAGTCATCTTTATGTATGTGAAGTGATACCTCATTGTGGTTTCGATTTGCATTTCCCACATGATTAGTGAGGTTGAACGTCTTTTCACACGTTTATTGCCCGGCCATCTGTTTATATTCTTTGGAGAAATGTCTGTTCAAGTCCTTTGTCCATTTTTTAATTTTTTTGTGGTGGTTGTTTTTGAGTTGTAGGAGTTCTTTGTATATTCTGGGTATTAATCCCTTATCAGATATATGATTTGCAGAGTCTTTTTCCCATCCATGGGGGTGACTTTTCACTGTCGTTTCCACAAAAGTTTTAAACTGTGAAGTCTAATTTGTCAGTTTTTCCTTTTGTCGTTTGTGTTTTTAATATCACATCCAAGAAATCATTTCCAAACCAATGTTATGAAGCTTTTCCCCTATGTTTTCTTCTAAGAGTTTTATGGTTTTAGCTCTTATATTTAGGTCTTTGACCCATTTTGAGTTAATTTTTGTGTATGGTGTAAAGTAAGAGTCTAATTTTATTGTTTTGCGTGTGGGTATTCCATTTTCTCAGCACCATTTGCTGAAAAGACTGTCCTTTCTCCACTGAGTGGTCTTGGCACTGGTCAGAACCCTTTAACCACACGTGTGAGGGTTTATTTCTGGGCTGTCTGTCCTACTCCGTTGGCCTATATGTCTGTCTTTATGCTAGTACCACACTCTTTTGACTACTTGTAGCTTTGTAGTAGGTTTTGAAGTCAGGAAGTGGGAGACCTTCAGCCTTATTCTCTTTCCAGGTTGTTTGGTGGTTTCAGGGGGCCCCTTGAGGTCCACCTGGGTTTTAAGATGGGTTTTTCTATTTCTACAAAAAACTTCATTGATTTTCGATAGGGATCACACTGAATCTGTAAATCCCTTTGGTTAGTATTGACATTGGAACAACATTGTCTTCTAGTCTACTCTCTGCTGTTTTTATTTTTCGTTTTATAGTTTTATGAAGCTTTGCTGTTTCTTCCTTGAGTGAGATAGAGGAGCAGGTTCCTAGAGCCTTTGGTTTCTGATGTCATGTTGTGTTGGACAACTCGGCTAGTGTTGAGGATCTCACCTCCATTTATTTATTCATGACTTGGGAGACTTAGGTCCCAGTTTGCTTCTGAGCCTCTCCTTTGAGCCTCCCGCTGCCACCCCCACACACACACACAGGTGCAGTACTGCACACCCACACACGCAGGCACACACAGCACATTTACAGGTGCACGGAAGAGTGCAGTGCTGCGTGTCAGCCTGAGCACCGGGGAGGAAGGAGGGCGCAGCTGAGGGCTGGGGCCGGTCAGCGGTCGCCTTCCGGGTCTCCGATCCGGTCGGTGTCTGCAGGTGTCTTCTGTGACTGTCTGCCTGCCCTCTCACAAACCAAGTGCCTTCTCTTGTGGTAACCGACACAATTTTAAGATTGAAAAAGAGCAGTAGAACTAAGATTATTCATGAAATAATTGTTGGTGGAATTTTCTCTTAAAGGGAAAAGGAAATCTGAGGGCTGAAAAACAGTTCTGGCTCCTTGGCTTTTTTGCTGGTATGAAATTTGAATAATTTTCAGTTGCTGGTCTTTGCCTCTGTTAAATGTAAGCTGTCATTTGAGTACTTTGGTTCTGTTTTGGTTTTATAGAAAATATGTTTCTCAAAATTAAAAAATACTGCTAAAATTTATTTATTTTTAGAGAGGGGAAGGGAAGGAGGAAGAGAGGGAGGGAAACATCAGTGTGAGAGAGAAGCATCAGCTCATTGCCTCATGCACGTGCCTCAGCCAGGGACCGAACCCGCAGCGCAGGCATGTGCCCTGACCGGAGTTGATCTGGCAACCTTTTGCTTTGCGGGACAAAGCCCAACCAACTGAGCTCCACTGGTCAGAGCCAATTTTCAACATTTTAAATCCACTGGCAGTTATTCTTCAACAAAGCCCTGTAAATCCATTGCACTTAGTTGTTGACTGTATGAGAAATTTTAAATGGAGCACAGTCTACCCCTTAGAAACAGTTCATTGTGGCAATTACTGAGTAATGGCTATGCATCCTGAGGTTCAGTGTCCAGGGCTCAACACTGTTCAGGATTCAACATGAACGCTCTGGCGAGTCACGGTAACACTCGGTACGGAGCCTAAGGCCAGTGCGGCAGCAGCCCGGGCACTCCTCCTCCATGGTTAGTTTTATCCACGGTGTCCTCGTGTTGCTTTGTGGCCTTAAGTCCTCACCCTCTTGCCTTTCAAAAAACCTGAAATCCTTCTGACCAGAGAAGCATTCCGGCCCCAAGGCTGCCTTCCTCTCACCTTCCTTTTCTGTTGACATTGTTGCATCTTGCTGATAACAGCCAGAATGTTACCATTTGACACGCATTTTGCCACCGAGTTGTCTCTGTTGGCCATGGGCATGGCCGAATGATTCAGGCAGTGGGACAACTCACCTTATTTCCTGGTCCACTGTACATGCAAACGGAGACTGATTCCAAGAAAAGTTGTTGTCTTCAGGATTTGAGTTTTAGGCGCAAAGGTTCCCATGCTGACGAGCACAATGCTTTAGCACTCTGAACAGACTAGCTTTATTTGTTCTGCATGGAAGGACGAGGTCTAGAGAAGAAAAGCATATTTTCACTTTATCCTAGAGAAACAAACAGTCCAGTTTCATCTGACAATGAAACTACAGTTTCATCTAAGCCACAGATGTAGGAAGTGTGACTTTATGTAACATCTCTGATCTCGTCAGGTCGGCGCCCCTGCAACAGGCAGGAAGAAGCCAGTGCGGTCAGGGAAATGGGTGGAGAAGGATTGCTGTTGGGCGATTCTGACCTCCGCTTGCTCTGGGTCCCAGTGAAATAAAGCTTTATGCCCTTAGAGGAATTCGATTTAAAGAATTTTGAAGTTGGGAAATCGAGAGGCAGGGATTGCTGTTTCTACCACCTGGTTATAGTAATTTGACCCTGTTTTAGTACTTGTTCTTTAAGGGTGGGATTTTGTTCAAAGAGGAAACCATCATGTCCAGAGTAGAATTAATGCCATTTTTTCTACTAAAGTGAACACTGCCAGTTTCCTTTCCCACTTTCCTATGCTTCAGGAAGTAATTGTTTTACTGCCCAGCCGTTAGAATGTCAGCTCTAGAAAGGGACCTACGTACGTAGTTATCTAACTCAGGCTCCATATTTGACAGATGAAGTAGAACCAGAATACAGTGTCCAGAGTTTATACTAAGGGACTGAGAAATAGTGGAGGCCAAGGGGGAAGGATGATCCAGTAACGAGAATATTACCAAGAATTACAATCTGAGTTCAGAGTTTAAAACATTCATTCTAGAGATGGACGTGCTCTAACTAAATGATTCCTCTCTGTTCAAGTAAAAGAAAAGACTTCAGTCTGTTTGCTTCCAAGAGCTTAGGCAAGTCTGACACTTCTAGGCTGAGATGATGGTGGAAATCCCTCAACAGACTGAACAGCCTTATTTTCATTTTATTTTACTTTGATTGCTTTCATAGTTTTCTTCCCTTTTGATACCTGTTGGTGTGGTTGATGTTACTGTTCTGAGGGAGCTTTGGCTGGAAATGCTTAGCTGCTCTCACTCCTCCAGAAGCAGGGTGAGACCAAATGGAAAAGCTGATTCCAGGCAATCTTCAGGGTTTTTGTTGAACAGGGCTCGGGGCTGGAATTAGTGTGTTTCTTAGTTTCTCTGAGACTTCAGGTTTTATCACATATTATTGCTACTTTTTGAAAGAAGCGAGTTACTGGGTTCCAGGCCCCTCCCTGTGACCTACCTTTTGGATTTTAAAACGTCTTCCTGGTGGAGCAGGAACGGCAGAATCAGTCGCTCTCCTCAAGTGATGCTTAGGAATGTTGTAAGCCCCGTTTTACTTTGGCACAAAACCATTTGCATTTTCCCTGCCAGCTATTTTTGGCACTGTCATGAACTTGCAAATTAATGATTCTGCTCACTGAAAGTAAAAATTTTGTTCCATTTAAATTTTAGACAAGCTTTTATGTTTCTGGGCCCTCTTACCCTCTCATTTATTAATGCCACCAAGCGTGTGCTGTCTTGAAAACATGCCGTTGCGGTTGGGATTTGATTGAACTTTGAAATTCCATCAGTGATGTAGCTCCAGCCACCTGCAGTGGGCAGATCACTTTTGATGGCTGTTTCTCTGACCAGCAAAGCCACTGGTTCACATCAGAGAGTAGAAAAACTGTCCCTTAAGCGGTTCCTCCCAACGCTGTCACCTAGTGTCCGTCTCGAAGGGCCTGGATCTCTGGCTGTTTCTCTGCAAGATCAAGAAAGCTTCCAGACCCTGTGGAGTCCTCTCATTAACCCTGTTTTCACAGAAATTTACTCAGGGAGGATGCTTTTACTTAGGGAACTGTCTTTATACTCTCCCCCTACTTGATCTTTGCCCCTTGCTCCTCCTAGGCCCTCATGAGGAGACAGAGTTTGTTGGATGGTTCTTAACGGTGAGATCTGCTTTTCCATGTATCTCCTGTTAAATGAGGGACCCGGGTCTGGTGTCCTTACAGATTCAAGTTTGATGACTTGTGAGAAGAAAAGGAAGTTATTTGAAGAAGTTGCTAAAGTGTTTAAGAAACTGCCTGGGTTCCATCATGTACTAATTGTGTGGTCTTGGGCAACATACTTAACTTCTCAGTGCCCAGTTTCTTTATCAGTAAAGTGCAAATGATACTTTATTGCATAGAATCTGAGATACCATTGATTAGGAGGGGCAACATTAAGGGGCAATGAGAAAGTAAAAACACTGCCATGAAAATAAAACACACTATCATTTGCAAGGATCTTCTCCATTTCAGAGATGTTGAAATGTATAAAACCATGCATCTGAGAATTACCAGTAATGACTTCTCAGTGATAATACCCACTTTCACAAGATTGTTGTCAGGATTACGTGACATCACACTTGGTAGTGCGTGGCACGTAGCACTGTGTGTCATCTGTCAGTGTTATTGATGATAGAGTTGCCTGTTATGATCCTTCCCTTTCTGAATCGTGTCTGTCTTGAGTTTAGTCACCTTTGAAAAATGCCCTGTATTGTGTACCACCGTGCCAAGCAGATTTTTATAGATGGGTATATACGTCACTTTTACTTACTTAGAGATAGTGTAATACACTCAACCCCAGAGCTAGTCTGCCAGGATTCACAACCAAACTCTGCCATTGACTATGTGATTTGGGGCAAGTTACTTAGTGTATTTGCCTCAGTCTCCTCCTCCATAAGTGAGGATAACAATTTTGCCTTGGATGTGTTCATATATATAAAGCTCTAAGTTTATGACATTACTTTAGTTTTCTTTTTAAGCATTAATAGAAGTGAGTATTTCTAAAAGCATACAAAGAATTCAGAGTTTTAAAATGATGCTAATGTAGTATGATCATCATAGTTTACTATGTATCCAACCCTTATGTAGTCCTCTGCATGTGCCAGGTACAAGAGCTTCCTGTACCAGAGCTTTAATATTTATTGTTATTATCAATTGCTTATTTGTATAAGCCATATAACAGAGATGTTAAGTAATTGCCTACAGCCATTAAAGAGTGGAGCCAGGATCTGACCCCTGATAGGCTGGGGTCAGAGTCCCGCCTGCGCTCAGCCACCCTGTCTCTACAGAAGGCATTTCCATCACAGAGAGTTATTTATCAACCAAGCTGTTTAATTGTTTTTTCATAATTAAAAAGGTATTAGGGGTAAAAAGAATAACTCTGTGATTCCTTATTCATGATTTCAAAATTCAGAAAGCTTTTAAAACGAAAAATCTTTTTCTCAGTTTGGTATAAGCTCATGTATTGGCAAGACCTGACTTGAACCCGCATGAGGCTGTTGGAAGTCTTTATTTAGCTGACTTGGTATGACTGCTTGTGTGCTTTGCTGCAGAAATATTTGTGTATTGGGTTATGAGTGCTTTTCTAGACTCCTTGGAATTATTATGTAATATGTAGTATATACATGGTAGTATCTTTCTGAAATACAAAAAGTTGTGAATTTCAAAAACGCATCTGGCCCCCAAGAGTTGCAGATGATGGATTGTATACCAAAGCACATTTTCAGTTCAGTTAAATCCATGTGTCTCTAGTTGATATTAAAACAGGATTTAGTCAGCATCATTCATTTTCCCAAATAACGTGTGTTTTTTTATCTTTTTTTTTTTTTTGCTAGAGCCCCTGAAATCATCCTGGGACTGCCGTTTTGTGAAGCCATTGACATGTGGTCTCTGGGCTGCGTGATAGCCGAGCTGTTCCTGGGGTGGCCTCTTTACCCGGGTGCCTCTGAGTACGATCAGGTAAGAGTGTTTGTTAGATGGAGACAGAAGGAAGTACTACTAGTGAAACAGAGTCTAATTGTCTAAAGACTAGAAATTTCACCACCTGCTTTTTAGTCTGAAGTTATGTTTGCAGTTCTACAATTAAAAAGGGGTTTTATTTTATACTACTTTAGATTGGTACTTTTCCCAATCTGTAATGATTTATTAGAGTATTAACTTAAGTGAACGAAGGCAAATTGTGAATCGAAAGTAAAGGGGAGGCGGCTTTGGGAGTTGAAGAGTACACGGGCTCATTTACACTGGTCACTTCTGTCGTACGTGCCACGCAGTAAAGTGAGTGCTCTCTGCAGAGCACACTGGCCCGGAGCTGGAGATGGGCAGTGGAGCTGTGTGAAGTTGGGTTTGTGAGGGGACGCACGGGCCTCGAAAAGTGTGCAATGAGTGACCTGTGTCTCAAACAGACAAGCTTTAGATGATAAGCTACATTCCCTAAGGAGCTGGTCCTGAGGGAAAAAGTTGTGCCAAGGAAATACATTGTGGATTCTCATTTTTTGTTCTTTAGAGAAAGTGGTCGTTAGACCACGTGAGGAGGCTTCAAGCTTTTCGTGGGCAGTGACTGTTTCATTTCATGTATCATCAGTCTGGCACATGGGTGCATGAGATTTGGGGGAGAGGGTTTTTCTTTTCTTTTTTCAGTTTGAAAGTCACAGACAATATAACTTTCTATAATTAGCTTAGGAGAAAAACGAAGAACCCACTGGTAGTAGGAAGAAGCAAGAGTCTTTGGATGAAATACTCAGTTACTGTGCATTTCCATTGCTTTCTCACGGCAGAGCGTGTGGCAGAGACTTCGAACACGCATGCCTGAAGCTCGGTTACGCTCATGTTCCATAACTAGGTCACTTGCAGGGAGGGCTGTTCTTACCACAGCAGTTAGCTGTGCCCCAGACAAATGCTGGTCTGTTCCCTTCCCACAAATCTTTATCCTGGTCTTCACTGCAAGGAGGGCACTGCCACGTGCTCCTGGCCAGGGGTTCTCGTCCAGGGTTTCTGGTTTGGGTGACAGCATCTTGCTCTGTCCAACTTCTGTCATCACAGCTTGAGGTACGATGAGTGATGTCAGTCCTAGGAACCTGATGACGAGCAGTGAAGGGACAGGTAGCCAGTCTGCGGCATCTGGGTGATTCTTTTTAATGCTGATGGTTCTTATCAGCATTTGATAAGATGATAAGGAAACCTGCAGTTCCTGATCTGGTGGTTCTTATTATGGAACAAAAGGTTTTCTGGAATTTCTAAAAGGACACAAGAGCAAAACAATTCTTTTTCCAGTTTAGCCTAGAATTTTGACGGCTCCATCTATTGTAGAGTAGATGTCACATTTACCAACTTCTAGATATTTGACTCTTCGGGTGTGTCTTTGAATGAAACAAAAAAATGAGTTGCCCATGTCATAAGTAACCAGTTACATTGTACTTTGTAATGTTTTCATCTTCTGTCTTGTGAGAAGCAAGTCACCTTCCTTATTTTACAATAATGATGAAACGTATGAGGGAGATTAAATGATCTATAGCCACAGTTAGTTGAACCAAACTACTGATTCTCCTTTTTGGGCTTTAGACCCTTTTGAGAATTTGATGAAGCTATGGATGGCCTCAGAAAAACGTGCACGCCAAGTTTTGTGTACAAATTGAAGGGATTTGTAGACTCCTGCTTAAGAAACCTTGCTCTGAGCTGTTACCGCTGCCCAAGTGCCACCTCCAGCCCAAATGCTTTGTGGCATCTCTTCAACCTTAGTGAACAGCTCGGTATCATGAAGTTTCCCAGGAAGTGGAACCAAATAAAATTAGATTTTAGAAGCAGAGGTACAGCTGGGGCTTTCCTTGTGAAGAAAGGATCTGATAATTTGGAGAATTTTTATGTGGTGCATACATGTGAAACTGTGGGTGGCAGGAGGAAGCTGTTTCCCACGCTGAATCAGTAGGATGCTGCTGTTGCAGAGCCGGGTGGGGGGTAGTTTATCGCACATCTCAAGTTGTACTAAAGGTTCCTATGGCAGCATCCTTATTCTTACAGATGAGTTTGTTTAGAAACGACTTTATTGAGATACAACTCACATATGATTTACCTCAGCCATTGAAAGTAATGTACAGTTCAGTGCTTTTGGTATGTTCACGGGGCCAGGAACAGTAGGCACAGTTTTAGAACACTTTCATCACTGTTAGCACTCAACCCTCATTCTCCCCGAGTCTCTGCCCTAGGCAGCTGCTGGGGGAGAACCCCCAAAACTTAAGCTCGTCAATTTTAGTTTTGGCAGTTAGTCTGAAGAACTGATGCGTACGTAGCCTTGTCCAGATTCATAAGAGCTTTATTTAGCAGGGAGAAATGGGCCAGGAGGAGTCGCACACACCTCCAGGACAGGGTCCCTTTTTAAAGGGAGTTAATAGCAAAACCACACGGTGTGGGTAGTCGTATAGAGACCGGAGAGAACAAGGCACTCCTAAGGTAAATGATAACACCAGGCACTTATTATAGCCTATACATTCATTAATGATGTCCCTCCTGAGGCGTGACGCTCGTCTCTGGGTGGCTTTCTGGGTAGTCAGCCAACTGTGAGGTTACAGAGAGTTCAACAGTCACAGAGAGTTCAACATTTCCCAGGTGCCTTTGCTGCGGGAGCCATATTGCATCTCTAAAGTGAGTTCGTCTAGCAGCCACTAATCTTTATATCTCTAGATTTGACTATTCTGTTCTACGATATCATATTCATCACCAAATGTGGTCTCTTTTGTGGGCTTCTTTTACTTAGCATAATGTTTTTCGTCCATGCTATAGCATGGATCAGAACTTCATTCCTTGTTGTGTCTGCGTTTACTCCTCTGCGTGTGTGTATATTTTGGCCGTGTGAACAGGGATGCTGTGAACAGTGGTGTGCAGTGTTTAAAGTCCATTTTCAGGTTTCTGCATATGTACATAGTTAGAGGCAGACTTGCTGGGTCCCGTGATCGCTCCACATCTGACCACACAGTTGCCCACAGTGGTTACACCATTACATTCCCATCAGCCATGTGCAGGAGTTCTGATTTCTTTTTTTCTTTTTAATTGGAAGGACAACATCTCTTCCTTTTAGTTTTAACTTAAAAAAGTAATGCATGAAAAACATGAACGTGAGTTTGCGTGCTGTCCTTGTGCAGGGCCGTGCTAACCTGCCCTGCCATTCCACTTCCAGAGTGCGCACTGGAAGCGAATGCGGGAGTTTGATTTCCGAGCCTCCTTGCAAACACCGGTTATTGTGTGTTTTTTAATAATAGTCATCCGTAGGAAGTGTTACCTCATTGTGGTTTGGGTTTGTGTTTTTCTAATGATTAGTGATGTTGAATATCTTGTCATGTATTTGTTGGACATCTGTATATCTTCTTTGAACAAGTATCTATCCAAGTCCATTGTCCGTTTTTGAATTGGGCTGTTGTTTCTTGTTAACAGTTTCAGGAATTTTTCATGCATCCTGGGTATTTCCCCCTTATCATGATACATGATTTGCAAATTATTTATCTCTTTCTTTGGGGTTGCCTTTTTACTCTGTTGCTCATATCCTTTGGTGCACAAAAGTTTTTAATTTAGGTGGAGTTCAGTTGGTCTGTTTTTTCTTTTGTTGCTTGTGTTTTCGGAGTCATCCAGAAAATGGCCACCAAATTTAATGTCATGAAGCTTTGCTCCGATGTTTTCTTCTAAGAGGTTTAGAGTTTTACGTTTTGGGCTATTTTAAGTTAATTTCTGAACATGGTATAATATAAGTTAAAGGTCCAGTTTCATTCTTTCACATGTGGATATTCAGTTTTCCCAACACCATTTGCTAAAAGACTGTTCTTTTCCTGTTGAATTGCCTTGGTGTCCTTGTCAAAAAGTCAGCTGACCGTGAATGTAATGGTGGGTTTCCGGGCCGTCGATTCTGTTCCGTCCATCCATGTCCTGTGTCCACACAGTGGCGCCCGCTGTTCTGAGGCCGTAACTTCACAGGCACTTTTGAAATTAGGAAGTGTGAGTCCTCTAACTTTGTTCTTTTTCAAGACCATTTTGGCTGTTCAGGGTTCCTTCAGATTTCATATGAATTTTAGAGTGGATTTTCTGTTTTTGCCCCCAAAAAAAGAAGTCATTGTGTTTTTTTGTTTTTGTTTTTTTTGTCAGGATTGCATTGAATCTGTAGATTGCTTTGGGAAGTATCCCCATCTTAACAGTGCTGTTGTCTGATCTGTAGACATTTATCTAGGTTTTATTTAAAAGGGCTTTGGAATTTTCTGAGTACCAGTTTTACACTTTTGCTCAATTTATTTCTAACTATTTTATTCTTTTTGATCCTATAATGAATGGAATTATTTTCTTAATCTCCTTTTCAGATTGTTCATTGCTAGTGTATAGAAGTACAGTGAGTTATGTAATCAATCTTATATTCTGCGACCTTGTTGAACTCTTTTTCTAATAGTTTTCTAATAGAACTCTAGATCTAATAGTTTGTGTGTGTGTATTCCTTATGATTTTCTAACTATAGGATCATATCATCTACGAATAGAGATAGTTTTGCATCTTCTTTACCATCCAGACTCCTTTTGTTCCTTGCCTAATTGCCTTGTGTTGAATCACTGCTGCTGTGTTGAATACCAGTAACCGGAGGGGACATCCTTATCTGGTTCCTGATTCCAGGGGAAGGCACATTCTGCCGTCAGCAAGAGTGCTGTCAGCCCTAGGTTTTTCACAGCTGCTCTCTCGGAGATTTCACGGCAGGTGTTTGTGAGTCTTGCAGTCAGATGTGTGTAACCTCTCTAGTCTAGACACTAGGGGCTTCAGATTTGTAGGAAACATTAGAATTGTTTACAATAACAAGTGCCAAATAATTCTTTGTTTGCGTAGGTGTGGAATTTTTGTTGTTGCTTTTATTTTAAGCTCTATGAAGAGTAGTATCTAGATAATAGCTTCCCATTCCACCTTCACGGTGCAACTTTTTCACTCCATAACATTAAATTTTTTAAATGTTTTAATTCCATAAGTGCATCATGGTAGAAAAATGAAGGTGAGGTAAGCCAAGAGATAAAAATTTGGACCACCAGTGGTTCTGCCCCTCAGAGGTAACCTGTTAGGGTGAGGTTATAGTTTGCATCTATTCATACATGCATACAACTTGTTAATTTTCATCATGTGTTTATTGAATATGAACTTTGTGTGAGGTGCCCCTGGCCCTGGGGGTGCGGCCCTGAATAAAACACCGTCCCTGCCCCACGGGCTCTGGTTTGGTATTGGAACGAGACATTCCGTAAATAATCATACAAATAACTACATGCTACAATGACAATACATTCTATGAAGTAAAAGATGTGGTTTTCTGCGTGTGCGTGTCTCATGTCCATTTATGTCCCACTGCCTCTTGAATATACTCATTTTTTCTCCATTGCCACTCTCTCTCCCAGGCTGTCTTCTTCCTGGACTCAACAGTCTCCCTTCAGGTTTTTTTCAAGAGTCTTTGATCCTGCTTCAGCGGTCTCCTATCACTTTTAGGATAAAGGGCTAAATCCCTCTTTTGACCTCTGAGCCCCTACCTGGGTCGTCCCACCCCTTCCTGTCTTTCTCTCTGGGTTGATTTTGCGCCATTTCTCCTTGTTTTTTTTTCGTTAGCCTGGTTGGCATCATTTCAGCGCTGCTTCCTTCCAGCCCAAGGCCTTGTACACGGTGTTCTCATGGTCGGAAGCGTCTCCACCAGCCATTCATTTAATCTAGTCAGTGTCTACTCATTCATCAGCTCGAGTAGCACTTCCTCCAGGAGCTTTTCCTCATCAGTCCCCAGTCTAAGTCAGGTTTCTTTTTTATGTATTTTTCATGGAAGCCGGTTTATTCTGACTTGAATTATGCATTCAGTGTCTGTCTCCCTCACTCCACTGCAGAGTGTGTGAGAGCAGGGACCACGACTATTTTTAAAATCACTGCCTGGCTCAATAAATACTTATTGAAAGAATGATTGAATATGTACTTTATATAGGTACATCCCAAATATAAAGTTATGGATATAGAGAAACATATATACTATATTTCCTCAAATCCATGACACCACTGATTGAAAGATGTACCATTTTTCTGTACCTCTAAGGAAAAATGCTGCCAATTACACCACGACAGCTCTCTGTTAACTTGTAAGACAACTTCTGAGTTGAAAGCTGTGAATGTGAAAAAAATGTGTCTCTTAGAACCAGTGAAATGTAGTAATTTTTAAAAAATAATGTGAGATTATATCTAATTTGTAATCTGCCTTTTTTATTATATAGCATATTGCAAAAATATATCTTTACATGTTAATAAGCATACGTCTACCTTATCATTTTAAGTGTCTGCATAGTGTTTTATTGTATTGATTTTATTCTGGATTTTAAAAAATAGTTTACTTTGTTCTGTATGCAAAAGAAGTCACCTCCTGTATTGCTCTCAGTAGTAGGGAGGGAAATAGATGGCCTCTTCTGGGTGCTTCTCCGGGTTGGGAGAAGCACCCAGAAGTGTGGTCAGTTAAATTGGGAAATTTGTAAAACAAACACAAGTACACATTTATTTCATTAGCCATCAGAGCAGTGACATCATCACACATCACCTCTGGAAGTTTCTACTGTACACCCATGAGAAGAGAATGCAAAGGCAAATAACCTCTTAGTATTATTATGAAAATAATTTTTATTTCACAGACCCTCCTAAAATAGGGCCTCAGGGTGGGACCCCAAGGGGCCCGCAGTCCGTAGTTGAGAACTGTTGGCCTAGCTTGTAGTGGGCCTTCAGTAAATGTTGGATGGGTGAGTGCGGCTGTTGTCCTGTACTGATGGGGAAGCTAAATTAAGGGCTTCATTTTTCAATATGAGAGATAATCTCATATTGTAGAGTAGGGGCAGTTGAGTAGGGGCAGTTGACCAGCGACTGGACTAGCCAAGGAAGAAAGAGGTTTATAGAAATTGTTCCTAATGATTTTAATTTGATAATGTATCAAAAAAAGAAAAAAAAGGTTTCATAGTAATTCACGAAAGAGAGCTTGTTTAAAACCATTCTGTTCTGTCCTAGAAATGTCCAAAGTTTTCTGAATTTTCTATCAGAAGTCTACAAAAAGCAAAAAGGATTACATACAAACTTCTCAACTAAGGTTGGGAAACCTAACAAGGATATAAATCACAGATATAGTAAAAAGGAAGTTACTGAATGAATATTTGGGAATTATTTGTGAGTGGGTTGTAGATAAATTTCATTTGTGTTATCAGTGAGTTAATTCACTGTGGTAGCTTTCTTTTTTGCCTAGTGCTAATAATGTTTTAGTGTAAACATTTTTAATAATGACTCTTCATTCCAAATCAATGTTCTGATGTTTCAGATTCGGTATATTTCGCAAACACAAGGCCTGCCGGCTGAATACCTTCTCAGCGCCGGGACAAAGACAACCAGGTTTTTCAACAGAGATCCCAATTTGGGGTACCCACTGTGGAGGCTCAAGGTCAGTCTCCCCCTCTCTCCTCCCCCCATACCTGTGCTTCTCACTCCCAACTTTGAGCTCAAAGTACATTCTTTTTTTAAAGATTACATCACGTTTTTTGTTTTCCTTGCTTGATTATCCAAGTTTATTCTTGAGATGGGGGAGGGAAAAGGGCTGGGGGGGGGGCGTATGTTTGCCAGAGAGAACACTTTAAAAAACAATTTCATGTGCCCACTTGGCCTTACCCTTAATTAAAACACAAAACCAGAGACTGCCAGTCCACTTGGCCGAGGCTGTTCCGAACATTTGAATTAACAGCTGAGAAAAGGGGAGGGACAGTGGTGCTGACCATTATTAAGTCATAAAAAAGCGAGAGTCGTTTAGTAGCAGTGACTCCTTTTTGGAGCATTCTCAATAAATATGACAAAGCAACATAATTTTCTAACTGCCCACATCAGGGCCTTGTATAGTTTCTTAAAAGAAGTATCTGCTTTTTGCTTCTGAGCCTACTCCTTAGAGATCCCTGAGTAATTCGGTTAAGCTCGTGACCTTTCTTCCCGAGGCTTTGAATAGTTAGCATTTGAAGCATCGCATTAGCAAATAGCCCGAAGACAAAGATGTAACGTCCCTCCTTATCTCTCCTTATCTCGCATTCTTCAGGAACTAAGCAGGTCATTGCCTTATCATTGTTGAAAGGATGTCCACTTACCACAGCTGCTGCTCTGCCCTGGAGGATCTTCTAGTTGTAAATAACTTTCATGTTTGTCCTCTGTAGTCGGCAAGGTGACAGCGCTTACGTCTTTGCTTTCTGGCCTAGTTTACTAGAATAAAATGTCAAAATAATACACAGGTAGAATTTTTTAAAAATCTGTGTTTTATAGACTCCTGAAGAACATGAATTGGAGACTGGAATCAAATCAAAAGAAGCTCGAAAGTACATTTTTAATTGTTTAGATGACATGGCTCAGGTGAGTGTAGCAACTCTCAGAAAGCCAGACATTTCTGTATCTATTCACAGGTATATTTCTGTTAGTTAAAGACAGTCAGTCTGTTTTCTTCTTGTATATGTTTTCATTTTTTACAGAAAAAGATGTGTTGATATTCTGTCATGTATTAAAACAATATTTTGATCCTAACAAAGGATGCTTTTGTATATTTCTTGCTTTTGTTAAACTGGCCTTATTACATGCCAGTATTTTGATATATTGCTTATGGTGGTTTCTTGTCTATTTTCTCTACTAAATAAATAAATACTTATATATAAGAGCTCACATTTGTTAAGTGTTTAAAACTCTGTACAAACCCTTTATACTTACGCCATTTAATCTTTTTAACAATAGGAAATTATATTAAAGTAATAATAGTCTTTTTTGCTTAATTTGTTCGACTTGGATTTTGAGTGGACAGGAGTTTATTTACCTTTATTCTACCAATATACTCTACCAAAGTGAAGCTTTTAATTAGCAAAGAGCTTCCACCTGTGAAAATGACTAGACTGTAATAAAAATTTCCTCAGTTTTTCTGTTGACTACTATATATATAGTTTGGAGAGAACGCAGATACCGCGTGGCAGCATTAAAGGTGAAGTAACAAAGTGCACAATTTCTAAATCTTCCTTGGAAGGTGAATATGTCCACAGACTTAGAAGGAACAGACATGCTGGCGGAGAAGGCGGATCGCAGAGAATACATTGACCTCTTGAAAAAAATGCTGACGATCGACGCAGATAAGAGAGTCACTCCTCTTAAAACCCTGAACCACCAGTTCGTGGCCATGACTCACCTCTTGGACTTCCCACACAGCAACCAGTGAGTACCTCGCGCGCGGACCGTGCGGGTGGCTGTGCTGCTGCGCGCTCTGCTGCGTTACTGCGTCTCCCAGGTAAACGGGGACACCCTGCCGGAGCGGCTTGGGGGCTTGCGTTCTCGGCTCTTTGATGCTTTGCTTTCTTACTGAAAAGTTATGAAATACATACGTATGTTTTCTCTGGTTGTAAAAACTCTTGATTCCTTTGATCCGAAAATACTCAGCGTGGGGCGCCGGCGGTGGCGGCGGCCGGGGGAGGGGTGATGATCTCTGTTCGTCTTGACTTTCTTTCTGTTTAAATCCCAGCATTCATTTTCAGTGATTCTTTAATCTTTTTTTTTTTTTTTTCAGCGTTAAGTCTTGTTTTCAGAACATGGAGATCTGCAAACGGAGAGTTCACATGTACGATACAGTGAGTCAGATCAAGAGTCCCTTCACCACGCACGTCGCTCCAAATACAAGCACAAATCTCACCATGAGCTTCAGCAACCAGCTCAACACCGTGCACAATCAGGTACTTTGTGCTTTTGGAGACTCAGACTCGAGTGGGGTGAAAGGTGGTAAGAATGCAGGGCGAAGTAAAGAAACCAGTGTTGGCTTTGGAGGTAGGGTTGGTTGCTAATTTTCTGCTTGACAAAAGTGAGGCTCAGCAAGGTAGACTGATCAACACCTCCTAGTCAGGTGCTGACAGAAATGCAATAGAAAGCCTGATCAGTCTTAGCGTGGTCACATAAATGGGTCCTGGCTGTTTGACTTCTTAACTGCTGTTAGTGGTACTGACTTAGCTAAATGACTGTTTGAAGGATTTGACATCCCTCAGTACGTGTGTTGAAGGGTGTCTCCAATAGTTGTTTTTATATGCTATACATTAGATTCCCAGAACTTAACTATTTAATGTGTAGAGGTTTGTGCCCTTTGACCACCTTCACCCTGATCCCCCCTCCCTGCCCCTGCCCTTCCCCCTTCTCCTGGCAGCTGCCTGACTGCTTTCTGTGTCCGTGAGTCTGGTGGGGGGGGGGGTGTTTCCAATAATTAGGTTTGAGCGTGGTTTCATGTTTGTTTGCTAAACAGGGACACCATATTTTTTGGACCATAGGACACACCTAGGTTTTAGAGGAGGAAAAGAGGGGAAATTTTTTGAAGCAAAAAATGTAGTAAAATATTTAATAACATAAATAACATAATATTTCACCAATGTAAATGTAAACAGAACTCAGTAGCAGCAAAAACAACCATTATTCCTCCCAAATTTGGTGAGGGGAGTGCATCTTACAGTCCAAAAAATACGGTACTTACGTTTTTAAAGATAGAAGCTTCCTGGTTTCTTAGCCAGTTCTATCTTTTCATTGAGATCTGGTGGAATTTCACATCCGGCAAGCTTTTGCCCAAGAAGTAGATGACAGAGGGGTTTATATAGCCTCACCCAGCATGGGACCATTTTTTCATTCTTTGTTTTCTTATTCAACCTTATAATATGCCTTAAATTTAGAGACTGGAAAGGTTTCTTAAGCAGGGACTAATTTCCAAGACAGCATTATATTTTCAAAGTAAATTTTTCTGGATCCATTCTGTGTGCACAAAAGTATTATCTTTCTGCCAGTGTATAACCATAATCTTGCTGTCTTTAGGCCAGTGTTTTGGCTTCCAGTTCCACTGCAGCAGCGGCGACTCTGTCCCTGGCCAACTCGGACGTCTCCCTGCTGAACTACCAGTCGGCTCTGTACCCGTCCTCTGCAGCGCCGGTGCCTGGAGTCGCGCAGCAGAGCGTCTCCTTGCAGCCTGGGACCACCCAGATCTGCACTCAGACTGATCCGTTCCAGCAAACCTTCATCGTGTGCCCACCTGCGTTTCAAAGTAAGTGGGGAAACTCCTGTTTCGTGTGTACTTGAACCTACCTGCTTTAGGCAGATCCTTAATGGTGTCGACCTTCAAGTTTAAGCTCTGTCTCTGATTATGAAGATAACTAAAGTTTACAAGGTAGATTTGCCCCTTTTTATTTTTATTTCATTGTGACACAATCTGAGACTTTATGGGAGAGACCAGTTAATGTTTCCTTACTTGAACTGCCCGGTTGCAGTTCTTGCCCATTGAGATCTTGTATCTGTGTCACATGTCTTTTGTTGAGTTGGCTAAAAAGTCCATTTTGTTTCTTCATTAAAAGGACAGGCACATTTTTTTTAGTTTCACCAATAACTGGATCGATTCAGATATTTGAGTCTGTCTGCTCTTTCCTGCTATTGGCTTCTAGCTCCTGCTATTGGCTTCTAGCATGTAGAGGTCAAGGGTGCTGCTAAACATCTTTTTTTTTAATATATTTTATTGATTATACCATTACAGTTGCTCTATTTCCCCCCTTCATTCCCCTCCACCCTGCACACCCCTCCCCCACCATCCCCCCTTTAGTTTATGACCACGTTCTTTAGATTCTCTATTTCCCCTACTACTCTTGCCCTCCCCTGTCTATTTTCTACCTACCAACTATGCTACTTATTCTCTGTACCTTCTCCCCCCTTCTCCTCCTCCCACTCCCCTGTTGCTAACCCTTCATGTGATCTTCATTTCTATGGTTCTGCTCCTGATCTAGCTGTCCTCTTAGTTTGCTTTTGTTTTAGGTGTGGTTCTTTTTTTTTTTTTTTTTAGATTTTATTTATTTATCTTTAGAGGGGAAGGGAAGGAGAGAGGGAGAGAATATCAATGTACGGTTGCATCTCATGTGTCCCCTGCTGGGAACTGGCCTGCAACCCAGGCATATGCCCTGACTGGGAATCGAACCGTGTTCCTCTGGTTCGAAGGCCTGTGCTCAGTCCAATGAGCTACACCAGCCAGGGCATAGGTGTGGTTCTTAATAACTGAGTTTACTGTTCATATTTTTCATCTTCTTTTTCTTAGGTAAGTCCCTTTAACATTTCACATATAATAAGGGCTTGGTGATGATGAACTCCTTGAATTTGATCTTATCTGAGAAGCACTTTATCTGTCCTTCCATTCTAAATGATAGCTTTGCTGGATAGATCAATCTTGGTTGTAGGTCTTTGGATTTCATGACTTGGAATACTTTGGAGCCCCTTCTTGCCTGTAAGGTCTCTTTTGAGAAATCCGCTGACAGTCTGATGGGAACTCCTTTGAAGGTGACTGTCCCCTTATCTCTTGCTGCTTCTAGGATTTTCTCCTTCATTTTAATCTTGGCTAATGTAATTATGATGTACCTTGGTGTGTTCCTTCTTGGGCCCAACTTCTTTGGGTCTCTCTGAGCTTCCTGGATTTCCTGGAAATCTATTTCCTTTGCCAGATTGGGGAAGTTCTCCTTTATTATTTGTTCAAATAAGTTTTCCATTCGTGACTGTTCCTCTTCCCCTTCTGGTACCCCTATAATTCGAATGTTGGAACATTTAAAGATGTCCTTGAGGTTCCTAAGCCTCTCCTCATTTTTTTGAAGTCTTGTTTCTTCATTCTTTTCTGTTTCATCAATTTTTTCTTTCTTCTGGTCCACTTCCTTGATTTGAGTCCCAGTTTCCTTTCCATCATTATTGGTTTCCTGTGCATTTCCCTTCATTTCAATTAGTTTAGCCTTCATTTGTTCCTCTAATTTGTGACTAAAATCAACTAGTTCTGTGAGCATCCTGATTACCAGTGTTTTGAATTGTGCATCTGAAAGTTTGGCTGTTTTTTGGTACTTAGAGTTATTGGCTCTGGGGCTTTGAGTTCTTGAGCCATGTTTTGGTCTGTTCACTAAACATCTTCCAATGCATAAGATGGCCCCACAGCAAAGAATTGTTTGGCCAAAATGTCAGTAGTACCAAGGAGCTTCACAGACCAGACACAGTACTGTCTCCACACACGGCACACGTCTTCTTTCCCGTCTCAGTTGCATGTTTACCTTTTTGGAAATATTAAAGACAACCAAAGTGCTACTAGAGCCATCTTACAGAAAAACTCAATGAACATTTCAGCCAACCCAATACAAACATATCTTTCAAAATGCAGAATATATAACCTTGGAAAAAATGTAAATGCAGTTGCTACATATGGAATATTATTTGGAATAGTATTTCCTCTATCGTTTCATTAGGAAATAAACTTACAATGTTCCACATAAGTGGGAATTTCATCATGAAGGACAGAAATCATGTGGAGACGTGTGGGAACCTCAAGTTCCATTTAGAAATGAAGACGGTAGTTTGTGGCCCCGGGAGATCCTGCAAGCTGAGGTGCTTGTGTGAGGAAGGCGGTGGGCCTTTCTGCCTCAGCTTGTGACCCTGTTGTTCTACGAACCCCTGTCACAGAGGAACCCCTGTCACAGAGGAACCCCTGTCACAGAGGAACGGAAGAGCTGGGGGGGTCTCGCCCCACGGGCTGCAATGAGATTGTGATTTTCACATTCCCATCCTTTCTCATTTTCCCACTGTTCTGTAATGCAGTCTGTTCAGTTCCCTTTTTTTCCTCTCTGAAAAATGGGAAAGGTGTGCTTATTGATCTGCTGAGCCCTTTGAAAGTATTTTTGAGGTTGTTTTTCTGACGACACACTTGTGACTTCCCATTAGAAAGTCAGTGTCGGTACCTTGTGGGAATAAACCAGGATTCGGGCTTCTCGTAGCACTTTCCGTAGAAGCCTGTAGCATTTTCTCTTTCGCTGCAGTTACCTACTGACCGTGACTCTTCTGTGTGTTTGGTTTCTGACAGAGTCGGAGCAAGCAGAAGGAAAAGAGGGGCTGGGGGAGACTGAGAGATTCCCGGGAGGCCAGGAGAGCTGTAGTGGTGTAAACCCGGGAGGAGCTACGGGGAGAGCGGAGCAGATTCGAAACCTGTAAATGCACATGTAGCCTAACTTGCAAAACTATTTTCTGCGTATTTCATAACAAATTCTGCCCTTCAGGTTGTTCTGTGTTGAGTGGTTGTTCTACTGAATTTAGCAAATAGCCACACCCGGTCCCGTCACCTTTTGCAAAATGAGTTTCACTGGGACAATTTCAGATGTGGGGCTGCCAGGTTCCTTGCTTCTTCTCGGGTGATATTTAAGAGATGAGACACAAGACCTTCTTCTTTCTTTTAACAAAACAAAATATAAATTGAAAAGGTGCAGGGCTAAAATGGTACAGTCCCTTTTGGTGTAATAAGGTAAGGGTAAGCTTTGGAAATTTCTTATTTAGGAAGCCTAAATCACCTGGGGAGCTAGGTAGAGAAAATCTTAAAATTTCCAAGTAAAAGGGAGTTTTTAAATTAAGCTAATGGTGATGAACAAAGTGGTGTGTATTACTGTTGGGCTGGCCAAAAAGTTCATTTAGTTTTGTCTGTAAAATAAAGGACATATTTTTCATTTTCACCAATGACTATATTGATTTGGATATTTTGAGTATGTTGTCTGTTTCCTGTGTGGTATAATGCTGATTATTCTCAATTAATGTCTCGATCCAATTGCTATTAACTTCAACTGGTCTACCTGAGCGTAGAGCATCGTCCAGCAACAAATCTCCAGCATGAAACTTCACAAACCACTTTTGACACATTTGATCAGTCACAGCATCATCTCCATACACTGCACAAATCTTTTTTTGTGTGTATTTCAGCTATGTTTTTACCTTTCTTGAAATAAGAAAGCATAGTACACCAAAAATATTGCATATCTTCTTCCATCTTCAGTAACAGAATGGTTACACAGAAATTCACCAGTACTGATTTTTTTAAAAATGCACGCTGATAGGACAACTCACAATGTAATCTAACAAAACTTTTTGAATGAAGTTAAAGACACTAAGTGCTACTAGAGCCATCTTACAGAAAAAAAAAAAAAACCCAAACGAACTTTTTGGCCACCCTGGAATGTGCCAGTTCCTATTCTGAATGACTTCACACGCACTAGTTCGTTCTCACAGACCTGGGAAGTGGATACGTGCCACGTTCTTTGTAGCCCGTCAGTGGTAGAACCACAGTGCGAACCCGGGCAGTGAGGTTCGTAGCTTGTGTGTTTGGGGGTCTTAATTCTGTACGACCTCTCAGCGTTTAAACTCAAATAGCTGTAAAGGGTCGTCAGTTGATTTGCCAGCCACAGCCACATGCTGGTTTCTGCCCAGCGGTTCCATTCCAGGTTGTCCCCTTGGCTTTCACCATCTGTGCTCAGAGAAATACCTGTACTTAGAGAAGAAACAGACCCTCAAATTACAGTTCTACTCTTCCCAAACTTCCATGGGTTTAAAAAAAAAATGAAAGGGTTGTGTTCAACAAAAACAAAACAGGAAACAAAGTTTTAATCCACCTTAGTTCAGGGGAAGCCTTCCCAGAGTGTTACCTTTTGTTCATTTCTTTGTTTCCACCTGGGCTTCCCTGAGGCCAGCTGGACTGCAGTGCGTTTGCAGATCAGTGCTGCATCGGTGCCATTCTAGTTGACCAAAATGAATACATATTCTGCTCAGTAGAAACTAGTGTTCTGTATTTTGTCCCTTTTTACTTCGTCATCCTTGGGACACAAGATGAGCTTCTGCACCAAACATTTCTTCCTAAGTTTTGCCTCCTTACTTTCTACTCGTTTGTAGGAGGCTATTTACCGTAACATTGTTTTGTGTGCAGTTGGTCATGTGTCCTGGGAATATAGACAAGAATTTTAATGTTGCTTAGCTTTCTTGGTAGATAGTGTTGCCTTAGGAAGAGTGACTGGTAATTTATTTTTTTTATCTGTATTTGTTACTTTTTATTTTTATCGAAGTCTCTCATTTAGAAAAAGTCGTTAGAATGTTTTAATTAAGATTTTGCTAGCCTTTGTTACTTTGTACATTGTTTTCTTCTGACAGTTTGTTACTAAATTACCTGTAAATTATTGAAATGAGGAATTGAAAGACAACTTGCTGTAAATGGTATTAGAGTTCATTGAATTCCGCTCATTTGCTGCCTCCTTGGTAACATTGAGAGAAATTAGTTGGCGATAGCTTAAAAAGTATCACTGATGGTTAAAATGTTTGTATTCTTACTTAACTAAACGGATAACATTAATGACTTAGAAACCTCACAGGAACTTAACTTCTCTAGGTGGAAAGTTTTGATAGGGTAGGTTTTTAAAAAAGCAGCAAAGGCCGTCTTCCTGGTTCTTGGCCAAGGAAGAACTACCTTGAGCCCCTCTTTTCCCCAGAAGGAGATATTCCTGTTTGTAGGAGACATTTATTCAGCATTTCTGCCTGGAACTCAGTGAATAAAAAGACCAACCAGACGTGGTCACATGGTTTTAAAGGCGGCACCATGGTCCTGGCTTTCCGAGCCCAGAAGGAGCCTTACTGGAAATCTGTCAGTGACAGGAGCCTAGTTCTAAAGAAAGTAGAGAAAAATGTTTCTGTAAACCAACATGTCTACTTGAGGTATAATGTCTACTTTAGGAACTATACTGTAGGTAAAGTTCACATAATGGTTAAAGACAAAAGTATTTGACTAATTTGCACACTAGGTGGTGCTTTCTGAGGAGTGGAGTGAAACATCCCCTCAAAATATTCAGAACAGAAGGGTAATTTACTTGATAAATTATTGAGCTTTTCATCATGTTTTCTTACCTAATTTAACCCAAAGTTATATTTTAGCCTTTGCTTTTTAATAGATTACACTTAAAAAGCAATGCCCTTCCCCCGGTGGATTAAAAGTTGGATGTAATTTACTAAGCCAAGGTGTTTTTCACTGTTTTTGCCTATACTGTTTGTTAATAGTATGGGTGTTTTAAGTTTTGTAGGATAAAAAGATTTTCAGAATTCCCTTAAATCCACCCTCCCTACCAGACATCTTCTCATTAATCACACCTGAAAGGACTAGGTCCTGTTTTTCTTTATTCTCAGACTTCTGTGAAACTGCTAAGTATCTAGAACTACAACCTAAACAGTGGATTATTTGAAAAGAAAAGCTAACCACCACCACCCACAAACAAACAAAGAAACCAACAGAGCCCCAAGACCTAGCAAAGCAGTTTACCTGTGCCGTTGTTCTCTGCAGCTGGACTCCAGGCAACAACAAAGCATTCTGGATTCCCTGTGAGGATGGATAATGCTGTGCCCATCGTCCCCCAGGCGCCAGCCGCTCAGCCACTGCAGATACAGTCGGGAGTTCTCACGCAGGTAAAAGCAGGGCAGCCTGGACACTCCGTGCAGCTGAAGTGCTAATTGAGAATCAGATATTTTGTTTCAGAAAAAGGCGTTTGTTTTGAGTGTACAATCTTTCTTGGTCATGGTGCAGTGGAGTTGAAGTGAGGTACCGATAGTGGGACGACGTGCTCCCCCCAGCACTCCCAGTGACCTCCTCGGAGTAGCAGGGTGGTAGCCAGACTTGGAGGAATTGTCTTTGGAGAGAATGGACTCTTAATTTTTTATGTTGGTGCTTTCGGAGGCGTATTACACATGTAACAACCTTTTGATTCTGAACACAAAAGGTTCCCCTTTGGTTCCCGGAGGGTCCCCTTTGGCCCCTCTCCCAGGATGTCATCAGAGTTGGGAGGTCAGACCACGTTGGGTGCTTCTTCAGGCACCGCATCCCGTTATCCCTGGTGTCTCCCTGGCCTGGAGGGAGCTTTGAATCTGTAGACCTGCCATGGAACATATGGCTCGGAAGGTCAAGAAAATCATGGAGTGTCCATACAAGCATAAATATGACATTTTCCATTCCATGTGTAAAAGTTCATGGCCCACGACACATGGGAAATCTGAAATCCCAAACCCCTAATTGGTGAGTAGGTGTTTATGATACATGCCTTTGTGGACTGGATTTTCTAGAATGGATCCTCTGAATCTGGCCAGGAAGGACTGCTCTGCCTTCTTGCTTCAGGCCACTGCCACCCAACCTGGTGGGCTATAAAGTTGTGCGGAGCGGAAGGGGGAAGTTGTGTTTGGTACGCGCACTTGAGGTCGTAGGAAACTGCTGCTCGTTGGTGATAACTTGGGGGGAATGAGAACCCTTCTGTGCCCAGATAACCTGCCTCCGTGTCTGTGTCACTCACCTGCCTCATCTACGTTTCAGGGAAGCTGTACACCATTAATGGTAGCAACTCTCCACCCTCAAGTAGCCACCATCGCGCCGCAGTACGCGGTGCCCTTTACTCTGAGCTGCGCCGCCGGCCGCCCGGCGCTGGTGGAACAGACTGCTGCTGTACTGGTAATTCCCTCACTTGATTGTGTTACTAACGGAGTTTCTTCAGTTTCTTTCTTTTTTTTTTTTTTTGCTTTGTTTTTTTTTTTCCTGTTTGTTTCTGTTCTGGTTTTCTCATTTTTCAAAAAATTTCAACCGAGTCTTTGCAGAGGGCATGGAAGCATGTGCCATCTCGTGGGTGTGTCCTTGCTGCATCTTTAATGTCTCCTTGCTTCCCTCCCCCACTGTGCCGAAGCCCTGTCTGACTCTGGTGTTCATGCGGCGCCGGGAGGAGCCAGGTCCCTGGCCTCTTCCTCGCCAGCCCAGCGCCGTGAAAGCGCTGTGCGTGGACTCAGAAGAGCTTCGACGCCATATCTGTTTTCTGCCTCACCCTCTCCGATCCTTGAGAATGGACAACCTGGCCTTAGTTCAGCAGAATTTGAACTCCTTCCTCCCTGAGGAAGTTAGCATCCTGCTTTAATTTGGTGCTTTAAGCTTCTAAACCTTTTGTGATGTAGGCAGTGTTTGAGGTCCTCTGAACTTACCGCTTCATGGGTGGCTATTAACTTCCCTCCTGTGGACACATGAAGCAAACTTCCTGCTGCTACTGGTCAGTGGCAGCTTATACCTCCCCTTTGTTCCCTTAAAGATGTTCCCTGCGGATGGCATTTGTTGATTGAACTTTAAAGTGAACTCATTTTTAGAGGTTTACGGAGGGATTTTTTACAAGTAGGTCTTTGTATAAAGACCTATTTGAAAACGTGGGTGAAAAATTTCATGCAAATACAGTATTCGTTACTAAAAGTTTTGGGGAAAAGTTATTAACTATAACAGCAAATGTAGTATGGGGGTAGAGCTAGGAAAAACAAGTAGGACTTTGAGGTGTGTTCCAGGATTTGTAACTTTAAGAGCGATTTTTGGATGTGTTTTAAACATCCAGTGTTTTGTTTTTTGAGATTTAATATTAGGCAAGCATTTAAAAGCCTGACTGGTACTATGAGTCCTGATATTTCTACATCCTTCAAAGAGGCTTTCAATTTCTTTTGTTATTTCCCAAGGACTCGTGAGTGAAAACCCTTCTAGAAACACACTTTGGTTGTTGAAATTGGCAGGTTTTCAGTTTAAGTCGTTACCATCTCCAGATTAAGTATAAGCATAAAGCTTGATACAGGGAGGTCAGATACAGTTGCAACTCGACTGGTTAAGCCACCGGTCTCAGTCGCTCACCTAGAGTTTTGGGGTTGGGGTTGTTGGTTGCCGCTGCCCCTTCATTGCTTCGCCTAAGTTCGCGCTGGCCATTCGCTGAGCTTTGCCTACTTTTGTTCTTCCTCTGTCAAAACAGTGTCGTCGCTTGGAACGCCCGATTTCTGCCTCACGTTGGAATGTTACTTCTTGCTCTGTATTAAATTACATGCTTTGTCTCGTGCAGGTGTTGGCTTATGGCAAGACGCATGGTGTGACTTAACATACTTCTCTTATTTTTTGTTTGGTTTTGTTTTAAGTTCTGCGTATGGTAGCAGACATATTTGCAGTTTCTCTGCTTTAGAGGCTGCTTGTTTGGAGCCAGTATTTGTAACCAGTGGATTTGTTACTTGCAGAAATATTTTTAAAACAGTGTCTGATGGCCTTGCAGTTTGAAATTCAAAAAACAGAACCATATGTACCCAAGCACTGTAGGTGATTGTATTGTAGACTTCAAGTTTAAAAAGGAAACTTTCAAGTCTGTTCATATTTTTTTTTTTTTTTAGAAAATGCCAGCATTTCTGTAAGAAGCACAGAAAACATATTTGTTGCTGTCTGTTGCACGTGGCGTAGTCTGTGAAAAACTAGAAATGATGGGTTTCTTTGTAGTGGTTAGTTTCAGGTTCAAATATGTTTCTACAAATGATACCTGAAACATTTTGTTTAAAACAAAATGTGGTGCTCTCCGGCATCTATTTTATAAGTATTTTACCTGATGCCTTATTTTAAAATCCTGCTAAGTGGTGCCAAATGATAAAGTTAGCTTTCTCATGCTGGCACGAGCTTGTTGGCCAAGGGATTTGGCCTCCGGTCGTCGGCATCTGGCGCCACTTTCCCAGCACCACCCTCTTAAACAGGAGCAGTTCTCCCCTTTGTGTTATGGGTTGAGTTGACCTGGTACCTTACCCATTGGTGTTTAAAATTTAAGTTTGTATTTTTAATCTCAAGGGAGCTGTCTTAACTCTTTCTAGGGATATTCTGTAAATCTTTGAAAAAATGGTAGTCCAGAGGTCACCTCTGAACTTCCCGACTCCTTCACCCTGTAGGGTAACAGACTCTCAAATAACCACAGAGCCCTTTTTTGCTTGAATACCCTGCTGGTGAGGCCGTGGAGGTGGCCGAGAGAAAGCAGCGTGCTCTCTGTCCCCAATCGTAAGATTTGTAACCCCGAAGCCCCCCCCCCCTTTCTTTTTTAATCTCTGCAAGTTAACAGTCTACAAGCAACTTCTTGTAAGATGTGAATTTTTCTTTCGTCTGAAAAACAAAAAAAGCCAAGAGCGAGTCAAGTCCGGGTCTTTCTGCATGTGTCTCCTTGCAGCAGGCCTGGCCCGGAGGAACCCAACAAATTCTCCTGCCTTCCGCTTGGCAACAGTTGCCCGGGGTGGCTCTGCACAACTCCGTCCAGCCCACAGCAGTGATCCCAGAGGCCATGGGCAGCGGCCAGCAGCTCGCAGACTGGAGGCAAGTGCCTGGGGCTCCTCTGGGAGACTTGTGGGGGCAGGTCCCACGGGGAGGGGCAGCCTGGTGCCTTGGTAAGGCTGGGAAGGAGGTAACGGAAAGGAGAGATTTACCTCGACCCGTATCAGGCCAGGAGGTGGGGTTAGACGCAGGCTTTGAATATAGGACAAGAGTAGGTTTTAAGCTCAGGAGTCATTTACTTCAGATTTAAAGAAAGTCTTACGCAATTAGAAACCCTGTCGGGAAGACCTGCGGCCTCGTCCTCGATGTGTCACGTGACCAGTAAAATGCATCTCTGTTGGGTCGTTTGAATTGCTCTTCTTAGCTCTGTCGCCCCCATTTGCCCGGGTGCTCGGCGTTCACTCCTCCCCGCCCCTCCCGTTGGCACAGGAACGCCCACTCGCACGGCAGCCAGTACGGCGCCGTCCTGCAGCCGCCGTCCTTGCTCGCCAGCCACGTGACTCTGGCCGCCGCTCCACCCCTGAACGTCGGTGTCGCCCACGTTGTCAGACAGCAGCAGTCCAGCTCCCTGCCTGCGAAGAAGAACAGGCCGTCTGCTGGGGGCTCTTCCAAGTAAGCCCCGTGGCAGCCGAGGGGGGACCCGGCCCGTTCGGGAGAGGCGGGGCCGGGCACTTGGGGTGCCATGGTTCGGGCACCTTCAGGGGGCTGCCGGGCTGAGGAGGCGTGAGCCTGCCATCTGGGCACACACACCATGTGCCCCGGCGAGCCGACTTTCTTGCCGCCAGCCTTGGCTGCGCCTGTTTTTATTTTTCTGCCCACTTTACGGGGGAAAGGGCATCACAAAAATAAGGTTGCTCTCGTGTTCCGGTGTTCTCACTCCCGGAAACTCCAGCTACTGTGGTTCGTTCACTTTTCATTGGAGCTTTTATAGTTGAGTGTGTTGGCTTAGTGATGGGGCAACAAGGACTCAGAGAGCAAATTGGAGAGAGTTGGGGGAGGGAAACATAGCTCTGGGGTCCCAGAGCCGAACGGTCTTCCTCGCGACCTTCTGCCACAGGTCTTCTCTGGACGCCCTGCCTTCTCAAGTCTGCTCCCTGGTTGGGAGCAGCCCCCTCCGCCCCACGTCCTCCTACAAGTCCCTGGCGCCCGTGCAGGACCAGCACCAGCCGATCATCATTCCGGACACTCCCAGCCCTCCTGTGAGCGTCATCACCATCCGCAGTGACACGGACGAGGAAGAGGACAGCAAATACAAGCCCAGTAGGTAAGATGGGTGAACGGTTCGCTGGCTTGGTGGCTGCTACCCTTGGCCTTGACTGGTGGCCTCAGGCAAGTGGCTGGGCTTGGGCTGTGAGAGGAAGGACTAAAAAGAGGTATTTGGAAGCACAGCTTTGGATGCGTGAGCCCAAACCCTCAAGTTTCCCTAACCGAGCACCGCACGTCGTCTGGCCCGTCACGTGATCGTCAATAGAATCAGTCCTTCAGACACCGGGCAGCAGGCGGGTGTTACGTTGTCGGGCTGCGCTGGCTCGGAGGCAGGTGGTCGGCGGAGACACAGCCCCTCCCTGTGCGGGGCTGTAGGGGCTGAAACCAGATTCGTGACAGCGCGTGGACGGCAGCTGGTTGGAGCGAGTCGGCAGATACGAGAGTGTTGGAGGCTCGTGCAGTTTCTTACTCTGAAAAGGCCTCTTTGGAAGAGGTAGAAATTAAATAGCACTGCCTTCCTTTTTTCTCCTCTGCTGTACGGTCTGAAAAGGTTAAGAACTTAAGTTCCAGATTCCTTCACTGAGAAGTTAACTGAGACAGAGTGGGCACATTGAAGAACCGGGACACACGCCTCTCAGTGAGGAAGTGCTGGGGTCGGTCGCCTCTATGGTCCTGACTTGGATTCTTCACTGGGCTTCTAACGTTAGACATGTCGAAGGGGGAGAAGCCACTTTTACGTGAAAGTGATGCAGGAGATTCACAGAGGCATCAGTCTGTATATAAATGAAGTGTAAACAGACATGAAAGAGTAATTTTAGAAGGAACTACTTCAGGAGGGCCATTTACAAAGTGGTATCTGCAGTTACAAAGTGGTATTTACACGTGGTGAGTAGACTGGACACTAAAACTTTTGAAAGTGGTCATTGAACTGATTGGGGAAGAGAAAAAGTAAACTTTCCAGTGAGGATGAGTATCCTGGTAGTGGCAAAAAGTTATGTAACGAGTGGGATTGCTTTGACTGGAGCCGAGTCTTTTAAAGAAAAAGAAAGGAAAACTAAAGTCAGTAAGGTGGGATCAATTTGTGAAGGAACTTAAAAAATAGGTTGGGTGAGAAGTTTGATTAGCTCTAATGGGGAACCCTTTATTAATCTATTGGAGTCATGAGGAAGCAGGTGTTGGAGGAGTTCTGTTGAAACAGCGGGGAGTGGGAATGGCGAGGTGGCAACACAGAGTGGCTGCGGGAGACCCGCCCTCTGGACGCGCTGGCTCCTGTCTGACCGCCTGCATGCCCTTGGTCAGGTTTCTTAGTTCTCCCAGGCCTCAGTTTCCTCATCTGCAAAATGGGGGGACAGTGCCTACTTCACAGAAGTGTTCTGATGATTCTGGATGTGTGGAGTGTAGAAATAGTGCCCGATGCATCATAATAAGCACTCAGAAGTGTTATAATTGTCACCGTCATTGTCACCATCGCCGCTACCGTGGCAGGACAGGAGGCCGTGCAGAAACGGTGCCCAAGGCGTTGAGGTTTCCCATGTCTCCTTCTCCCAGCTCCGGCCTGAAGGCAAGGTCGAATGTCATCAGCTACGTCACTGTCAACGACTCTCCGGACTCGGACTCCTCCTTGAGCAGCCCCTACTCCTCAGACGCCCTGAGTGTTCTCCGGGGCGACAGCGGGCCCCTCCCCGAGGGGTCCGGCAGAGGCGGGGGCGACGGCACCAACACCCGCACCATCATTGTGCCTCCGCTGAAGACTCAGCCCGGCGACTGCACTGTGGCCACCCAGGCCTCGGGTGAGTGTCTGCGCCTCGGGGGCCGTGCTCGCCGCGTGTCCTTCTGCCCGGGCAGAGACCAGCGGTGTAGGTGTCCTCAAAGGTTACTTAACTCAGAGCTTAGTTCCCTGTCTTAGAAAATGGTTTCTGGCCATCGGCTTACCTTTTCTGTGTTTATTTTGCTTGGGTTCATGAAAAACTGAATTCGTAGTCTCAGAAATACACACACTGTTGATGGGAGAAGGTTGACGAGGCGTGTGTTATATGGCAGGGGAATCAGCAAGCCTGTTCTGTTTTCACCACAGGGGATTTGCTTAGACGGTCCAGAGGTGGGCGGGAACCGATGCTATTAACAATGTTTTTGGAAAACAATACGTACTTCAGATTTTTTTCTCTGCCATTGTCAGCAGTGATGCTGTTCTGGGTTTTATTATCACAGTGATCACCTTTTTTTTGCTCTGTTGGATGCTGGGTTTAGGTCCTTGGGCCAGTACTGGGTACTGCTCACTGCAGTACCCGGTGCCAGATTTCCTCACTTCTTACTCACGTGACTTCCTGGTGTTCCTGGTCGGAAGGCCCACAGTGAGTTCAGGGTCAGAGCTTTGGCCTCCAGTCAGATGGAGCAAGAAAGTTGAGAGGAAGCACACACGTCTTAACCTCTTTCTTTAGCCCTGGAAATAGTGAGAACCAAATCGTGGCCCCACCCAGAGGCAAAGGGCCCAGGGGATGTAGTCCTTGACTAGGCAGCTGTTTCCGGTGGAAACTTACACAGCAAAAGCAGGGGGTGGGGGGCATGCATTTTTGGTGTCAGTATAGCTGTCTTGGCCCTGCTTGTGTGACTTGGTGTTTTACTGTGAATAATGTTACTACCAGAGACAGACGCTGGGTTCTGATTGGAAGGTATCGTGTTACGTGCAGCCAGCTGCCCCTTGCAGACAAGGCAGAATGTCCCTGTCGGGCTACTGAGCAAGACTGTTAGGAGCTCTGTCCGCAGCTGGGCCCAAAGGGAAGAGCACTCCACAGTCACTATTAAAAGCTCCAGCCTTCCTCATGGGAGCCAGGGTGCAAGATTTCGAAAACTGATTTGCTTATTCAACACCCCTGCAGTTTCTTAGAATTTGAAGACAGTGAGTGCCCAGCAAGATAGAATCTGGCCTTTCTTTAACCCCTTTCGATACTTAAACATCCTATTAGCCACATCCAGCTCAGCTTCACATGGTCCTTTCTACACTTGTTTAATCTCTTCCTACCTAAAATTAGGCCCCCTGGCAGGGGGGTGGAACTTGTGTTTGTATTTCATTAGTGCCTTGCATGTTACAGAAGATTAGATAATACCTACGGAAGTGAACAGGCTCAAGATCCCTTATGAGCTTCGTAGCAAGACAGAAAAGAAACGGATAGTACAGTCTGTGTCCTGGTATAAATGTAATGCAGGAAATAAGCTACACCCAAAACCTCACCTCTTGCCAGCCTCGCACAGACGGGGACTGAGGTTAGCCCGGTGATTCCGTGTGGGCGACTTCTTATCACTGACGGAGGCCTGACCCACTTGCAGGTCTCCTGAGCAGTAAGACCAAGCCGGTGGCCTCAGTGAGCGGGCAGTCGTCTGGATGCTGCATCACCCCCACGGGGTACCGAGCTCAGCGAGGGGGGGCCAGCGCAGTGCAGCCGCTCAACCTTAGCCAGGTAAGCGCTGGGCACTGCTGGCTTCTGCGCGGGGCCCTGCCGACTGTTACTCTCTGGAGGACCCCGCTTCTGGCTGGACCACTGAATAAAGCCAAATGAAGCTCCTTTCGTGTCCGAGCATCGAGTTCTGTGGCCGCTGTCAGATCTGCGTGTGCCGTGCCCCTTCGTCCCCGTGGGGGTGCGCTTGGGGTGGACAGCCCAGGCTGTCCATGAGTCCTTCTGGTCTGTCCTGGGAGATCAGAGAAATGTCTGGAATGTAGAATGAGCCCAAGATGCTTTAGTCGGCGTCTGGTTCTGGACCCCCATCCTTTGAGATCAGACTCTTCTTCCTTTATGTCCCAGAACATAAATAACTTGAGCTTCCCACTGTTTCCTGAGGCAAGAGACAGGGAAAAGCTTTCTGGCCGCCTAACCAGCCAGTTCTAGTCCTGCCAATTGTGTGAGTCTGGGGTGTGGGGCTTTCTCCTCCCGCCTGGGCGCGGCAGGGGGTGGGGGTCACTATTCTGTTTGTGTTCACTCTTTCCTCAGCTCAGATGCTGGTGCTTGTGTGATGTCTCCAAGTAGTGAGAAAGTGTGCGTGTGACGGTGTGACTGTGTGTGTGTGTGTGAAAGAGAGGGAAGAGCACGTGTAAGTGCAAATGTGAGCTCGAGTTAGTGCATGTGTTTTAGGCTCCACAATTCGAGAGGGATATGAAGAACTTAGAGAACAAAAGAAAACATTGCCAAGAAAGAAAGGTTAGGAAAAACTCAGACTCACTGACGCCAGAATAGGGTGAGTTGAGTCCACAGTCATACCCTGCAGGAGCGGGCGCCCCTCTGAGCTCTCGACCCTCCCCCGCCCCATCACACCCGAGAGCGCAGCGCTGCCCCCGGGCCGGGTTAGGGTCTGGGCTGCCCAGAAGCAGTGTGAGTTCGACCCTCAGCGCTCAGCTCGGCCTGTGATGCCCCGAACCCGAGTGACCGCGACTCCTGACGCCTTCCTTCCTCCTTCCAGAACCAGCAGTCGTCCTCGGCGCCAGCCCCACAGGAGAGAAGCAGCAACCCTGCCCCCCGCAGGCAGCAGGCGTTTGTGGCCCCGCTCTCCCAAGCCCCCTACGCCTTCCAGCATGGCAGCCCACTGCACTCAACGGGGCACCCACACCTGCCCCCGGCCCCTGCTCACTTGCCAAGCCAGCCTCACCTGTATACGTACGCGGCCCCCACCTCTGCTGCCGCGCTGGGCTCCACCAGCTCCATTGCTCATCTCTTCTCCCCCCAGGGCTCCGCGAGGCACGCCGCAGCCTACACCACCCACCCCAGCACTCTGGTGCACCAGGTCCCCGTCAGTGTGGGGCCCAGCCTCCTCTCCTCGGCCAGCGTGGCCCCTGCTCAGTATCAGCACCAGTTTGCCACCCAGTCCTACATGGGGTCGTCCCGGGGCTCCGCCATCTACACTGGATACCCACTGAGCCCGACCAAGATCAGCCAGTATTCCTACCTGTAGTTGCGGAGCCCCGCAGCCGCCCTCTCCTGGCCCCGAGCTCTTCACTGTGGGCTCCCGTAGCCTCTCCTTCACTCTCTCTGGAAACTCCGTAGCCAGCACCTTGCTCCGCAGGGGCCACTGAAGCAGAAGCGTTTTCTCCGGGGACCTGTGTCGGTGTCGACCGCGTCGCTGCAGCCTCCCAGAGTCCGCCCTCCTTGTCACTCTGTGTCTCGGTGATAGCAGTCTGGTGTTCAGGAGAGTTCGGGTGCCCAGGGAGGAATGATCATTCTGAAGTTACCCTCTGAAAAATATTTTGTCTCTCTTTTTCTATAAATGCTCATAAAAACAAGTGAAGCCCCTTTTTATTTTGTTTTGTCATAGTTGCTGTTTGGAGGGAAAATGCTGATGGAAGGACTTGAAATCTGGCAATAAGTGAGAAAAGAAAAATCATTACTTTTGCTGTTTAGGAACCAAGACTTAATTGCCTACTTTAAGAGTAGCTCTCACAAGTCCTCATCTTACTATCAGGCATTTTTCCTCAGAATTTTACTTTTGTTTGTGAGCTGTTTAAATCTGCAGTGCTTTGGTTCTGTTCTCATGTCACACTGTGCTGAAGGGTCAGTTGCTACTTCTGCGGGACGAGTGCTGCTCCGTGTCACTGCTGTGGGGTTCTCTCGGCTGCGCCTGGGTCCGGTCCACAGTGGCGTGTAAGGGGCAGCTCTCCGTCTGCCGGCTGGCTTCCCGCGAGAATCCATTCCTGCCGTGGGAACACAGAACACCCAGTGTTCTTTTTAAATGAAGCACCACGCGTTCTTTGAAAATTATTTTTTAAAAAGTCCTTCTCTGGTTCAGCTTCAATTTTATTATGGAAAAGCCATGTAGGTGGTGGTTATTGTGTGATGGCGGTGGTTTTATTATATGCAAAAATCTCTTCGTATTATGTGATACTGGCATTAATGAGCTTTGCCTAAAGATTAGTGTAGAATGAATTTTCAATACTACACCTCCTTTCTCCTCGCCTCCTCTCTCCCTCCTGTTGTCTGTGATTTGTCTGGGGAGCAAGCTGAGGAATCTGAAACCAGATGAGAACATTGTGTGTAGCTTTTATACCTAGAGTAGCTTCCTTTGTATGCCAGCAGCGAATCGAATGCTCTCTTATTAAGACTTATACAGTAAGTGCATGTAGGAATTGCAGAAAATATTTTAAAATTTTATTACTGAATTTAAAAATATTTTAGAAGTTTTGTAATGGTGGTGTTTTAATATTTTGCATAATTAAATATGTACATATTGATTAGAAAAATATAACAAGCAATTTTTCCTGCTAACCCGAGATGTTATTTGTGATCAAATGTGTAGTGATTACACCTGACTTGTGTGTTTAGTGTGTGTCTGACCCTCCAGTGTTACCCCGGAGATGGCACTGGTGCCTCCATTGTATTTAAACCAAAAGGAACTGATGCCTGTTGGAATGTATGTGAACTAATTGCAGGTATATTAGAGCGTATCACTGTAGTGCTGAGTGAGCAGGGGCACTGCCTGCGAGGGGGGAGACCCTTGGAATCGTTTTGCACAGGTGTGTCTGGTGAGGAGTCGTGCGGTGTGTGTCTCTGCCCTCCCTGCCCCCCTTCCCTTATTGTAGTGCCTTACATGACAGTGTGGAGGTGGGACAGTTTACAGTGAGCCCGCCTCAGGGCGGACCAGCCAGCCCGGCGGGGCCCCCTCCGATGGCTGGGATTTGTCAGAACAGGACGAGCAGCAGCCGTCGGGGTGTCCGTGCATCGTCCTCGGCCTCCCTGCCGACGCTGAAAACCAGAAACAGCAGCTCTTCTCCTCCGCTGTTCTGCCCCCTTTGCGTTTCGGCCTTGCAGCCAAGCTCTCCCAGAGCCGTTCCCCCCCCCCCCCCCCGTGGCTCTCACGGCGCATCGCTGCCCTGTTGCTGTGAGCACCTGGGGAGCCGTGAGGGGGGCAAGCCAGGATTTACTAGGCATTTCTCCTTTTTAAAAAAGTATGTGCAATCACTTGGAGAATGAAATTCCCCCCCCCCACTTTTCCCATGGGGCAGTCCTTCCTGCAAATAGCTGACATTCCTAGTGAAATATTTGCCTGTCGAAAAAAACATGTAACAGATGTGTCTAAACCAAAGAGCCTGTCGTACTGCTTCCCGTGTCCCCATACTACGAGGGGTAGTTGGGTGATGCCACTGTGGCAGGGAACTCACAGAAAGGTTTCTTCGCTGGTGAAGAGTATGAAGAAGGAACCAAAGCCAGCCGAGTCACTGGGCTTTTCGAGGTTTCTTTTTAACAACGAGTATATTCTTGGGGCCCTTCCAACTGTGAACTCGTCCTTGGACTCTCAGCTCCTGCACAGATCTGGGTCAAGTAGAGGGTACTGGGGATGGGGACGTTCCTGCCCGTCAAAGATTTGGGGGAAGAAGGTTAATCTAAGATACAGTGTTCCATCTGAACTGAGAGTGACATTCTCGAGGGGTAAGTCTAAGACCAGTTCTTTGTGGAGATGGTGCCAAGGAGGTGCAGGATGGAGCTGGGAGACTGCGTGGGGGCCGGTCAGCGAGCTCTGCACCGGGGCGAACACCAAGGAGCTGTCAGGGTACTCGGAGTCTTCACTGTAAGGAGTCGGGGCTTCCAGGACGGGGCAGACCGCCAGTACAGCTCCCAGGAACATGCCGGAGTTTTCTGTGTGTTTTTAAATCGTACGGAGTTGTGTTTTCAGCACTCTCTTGGTCAGGACACCCAAGCAGTTAGTCTAGTTTCTGTCATTAGTGTTACACAGAGTTCTGGTCGGCGCGTGTGATCTCCGTGTCTCCTTTTTGCCAAGCACATTCTGATTTTCTTGCTCAAGGGCAGATCTGGTTTCCAATGGAATCGTTTTTGTTGTTGTTCCTTATCTTTCCTCTGCAAGGGATAGGAATTACTGCTTTTTCAAGAAACCAGATGCAGGGGGGAAAAAAACCACAAAACACTCCACTCCTGTCCCCCATCCAATAGATACATCATTTAAGATGTAGAGGAAAAGACAATACCAAGATCTTCTATTGCTACCTTAATCATCTTGCTAGCGTTGTGTGGCTTTAAGGATTTTAGTGATTTTCAGTCTTAGTTAATAAGTTAGCATTTTGGACTTACTAAGATAAAAATCCCCCTGTGTCTGCTGAATATGTATGTGCTTAGTGTGGCTCTGGACTGTGCCTGGGGCTCGCCGTCTCTGGCCCTGGCAGGCCAGGAGAGGCCCTGTGAATTCACTGAGCAGCTGGCCGGGGCACAGCTTCTGTCCTTCAGGGTGAGAGAGAAAGTGGGGGAGTGTGAAGAGCAGCCACTTGAGGCTCGTCAGGACCCCTGATCACTCGAGTTTTTAATAGCTCCCAAGAGGGGCCGCTGTCCGTGCTCAGCTGAGAGCCAGCCCCAGGAGCAAGAGCTCCTTTCCAGACCGTTCTGGCCGCCCATCGCCATCCATTGCCCGCCCGAGAGGGGCTGTGCTTGGCTGCCCTTCACCAGGCAAGCACAGTAGTGGGTGTCTTCTTCGGCGTTATTATGCAAAAACCCGCGGTTAGGATGGTTTGTTTTCAGTTGGGAAATGGAGTTGCCTCTCAGTGACAGATGCGGCCGAGCCTGCTTCCCGTTTCGGTTTTGTTTTGAACTGATGGGTGGTGCAGCATGTGTACATGCTTGTGTGTCGCTAAACTTACGTAATGTGTGGTTTTGATTCAGCTCGAAAAATGATCTCACTACGTGTAGCAGTTCATTACATGTAATGTTAGTAACTCCTGCTCTGAACCCTTGATATTGCGATGGAACTCCAACTTTATTAAATGTATTTGATATGCTAGTTACTGTGTGCGATTTACACTTCTTTTGCTTTCCCCCTTTTCTGGTTGTGTGCTTCCTTTTACAACAAGCCTCTAGAAGCAGTTTCTGAGAATTACTGAGTTATGTTTGTAATGCAGATGTACTTAGGGAGTATGTAAAATAATCATTTTAACGAAATAAATAGATATTTAAAATTTAATACTAACTACGGGAAAAGGGTCCATTGTGTAAAACATAGTTTATCTTTGGATTCAATGTTTGTCTTTGGTTTTACAAAGTAGCTTGTATTTTCAGTATTTTCTATATAATATGGTAAAATGTAGAGCAATTGCGATGCATCAATAAAATGGGTAAATTTTCTGATCCACGTGGCTGTTTCTGACTTTTGTTGTGGGAGGCCCCATCCTGCGGGATTCTTCCGGCTGCCGCGGGTGAGAATAAGTTGACCCTGACAGTCTGTTCTTCCAGTGGGGAAGGGGGTGGCGGTTCCTTCCAGTGCAGAACGCCCGAGCCCTTCTCCTAAACGGCTTTTATTGAGATACGTATGTGCCGGGATGTATGTCAAAGGGCTGTAGTTACAGTAAACAGATACTGTTTATAGATAACAACTGAAGAAACACGGAAATCTGCCTCCGGTCCGGGTCTGCTAGATGTGCTGATACCAGAGGATCCTTAAGGCATATTTTCTAAGATACAGAGTTCAGTCCTTTGGCTTTGAACTTAAACATCTGGGTTTACAGCAGCAGGGATGTAGCAAAGCAAAGCACAAAGCAAGCTTCAAAGGATACAAATGTAGATATTTCAGGTCTGATTGCTGGCGGGAACCCTCCCTCCGTGTTAGTATGGGGTGGGGCCTGCCTCTCGCATTCCTGGCGTTCAGCCGAGACTTACAGGCAGTGTCTCGCTCAGGGCTACAGTCTCCAGAACCACACAAAGCGGTCCCTGATATTTCATTATAGGGGTAGAAGGGGGATCAATAAAAGGCATCTTTGGAGTACCTAAATACACTTGAACATTAGTAGACAAATGATACATTCGAGACAAATTTATTTTTCATACAGACCCCATGACAGAAAGGAGTAGGCATTGCTAAGGCGCGTTTCTGAGAATGGAGGTCAGGACCCTGACTTGCGGTCATCGGGATCCGGCCCTTTCAAAGAGGCAGAAACATCTGACCCAGGCTAATTGAACTCTGTTTCCTAGCATGTTCCACCTAACACCTAAAGTGGCAGGATAAAAACAGAGCTCACCACAAGAACATGCTCCTCTTCCCTCTGTTCAGGCCGCACTGTTAGAAGCAAAGTCCTTTTCAGAGAAGGAGCCTTTCCAATCAGATTTCTCTTGACTGTAAAGGGAATAAACTTGCTCCAGACAAAGAATCAGAGAGGTTTGTCTGGATCAGTGATTGCAAGTCTCCGAATAAATGCTGCCTTCACTGGATCCCTTTTGACACACATATTTCAGGCCACGTTAAAACCTGCAGTGGCCTCCAGTGCGTTTGGGGCTCCTGAGGCCCTAGCTGGGATGTAGAAGTAAGAAACATTCAGAAATACTTTGGGGCCATAACAAGAGAGATGACCAGTAGTCCGTTCCCATTAGTAGGGAAGTCGGGACACATTTAGTTTGAGTTACACTGCGCATACATATTTTTCAGGTGTTTTTCCTGAATAACTAAATCAAATTAGTGTCGGCTTGCTGAACACTCCCCAGTTAAGAACAGGCAGTACCTAGAACCTTTCAGGCAAAGGGAAGCCATATAGAAAGGCTTTGCTGTCAATCACGCTTCCAGTTAACCAAGATTTTACTTCTTAGAACTTTGTTTTGTTTTCCAAGTTATTTTTGATCTGTTATACTTTCATCTTAGGCTAAACCAGAGAGAGATTGGAATAGCCCCGTAAGCAACTGGGTAGTGTGTAGGGAAATCTGCATTTTAACGATGAAAACTATAAATTCACTCTGCTTGGCTTGCTTTGTGGAAAATTTCACACGAAGTTCAAGTCAGCCTCGGTTTCCCTATTAATCTTGAGATGAAACCTGAGGTTTAGCACTAGATGGCGCCAGTGAGCTATGGGAGAAGGCCGTGCCATTGGCTACTGTGGCCTTTCCCCCTCAAACCTCATCTCCCCGGCTTCCAGCTTCCACTGAACAAGGGGGGAAAAAAAAACCAATCCGTGCCGTTACTGCTGGGAAAGGGAAGGACTAATGAAGGATCTTTCTTATGTCAGCGCTGGAAACCTAAGACATGGGAAGAGTTGGCTGTTTTCTCTAGCTCCTTTCCCTGGGTGGCCCCCCAGGAGGCCCTGCCCAGGGGTTTCCACCTCCTCCCCTCTCCTGGGGAGCCCACAGCCCAGGCGGGAGGTGGTTGAGGCTTCTGGCTGCTCTGCAGCGGGGCCATCTGTGTTTGATCAATCCAGGCAGGAAGGAGGGGGTAGGGGCTGTAAAGGGCCTGAGCATTCCAGAGTAGTGAGAGAGACCCAGAGGTCCAGAAGGACAGGCCCCGCCCCCGCCCCGCCTCCAGCGCGGACCGGCGCGCTCCAGCGAAGAGGTGGCCCGCACACGACTGCACCCCCGGCCCGCTCGCCCGCTGCCATGGGGCCCGGTGCTCCTCTCCTCATCGTGCTCCTTCTGTCGTGGTCGGGACCCCTTCAGGGACAGCAGCACCACCTGGTGGAGTACATGGAACGCCGACTAGTTGCCTTAGAGGTGAGAGACTCCTTTCTCTTCTAGCCCAGTTTGTCAGGCATCTAGGGAGAAGATTGGGCTCTGTAAGAACCTACAGAAAACCCCACCTTTTAATAAGAAGATCCTCTTTCCCCACAAACTCAGAGCAACTCACACCTTCGTGTTCCCTGCCCCCTGCCCCCACCCCGGGATTAGATAGACCTGAGGGACGGAGAGGAAAGGAGACCTAGGAGGTGGGGATGCATCTGAGGATGAGCTGAGGATTCTGTTCGAGTTGCAAGCACCCAGGCAACTTGCTGCTGTTTTAACCCTTTGAAGTCTGTAGCATCCTAATCCCAGGAGAATTGTATGATGGAGCAGAGACCCCTGCCCGCCCCAGAGGCTCCGGGACTCAGCGGCCCGGCTCACGGAGAAGGCAGCCCGGAGGACACGTAGTAGGGCAGGGGCCAAGGTGAATCTGAGCCAGGCTTTCTGCACACTTAGCGTCTCTGAACATCTGGTTTCCTTTCTACGGGGGTAGAAGGGGATGTTGCTGCCTGGCTGAGTGTGCTGTTCCCCTTTCCTGGCTCCCTGGTCGGGCCTCTCCCTGCCTGGGAGTTGTAAGTCTGCAGCCCTGCACCCTCCCGTCCCTGCAGGAACGGCTGGCCCAGTGCCAGGACCAGAGCAGTCGGCATGCCGCTGAGCTGCGGGACTTCAAGAACAAGATGCTGCCGCTGCTGGAGGTGGCCGAGAAGGAGCGGGAGGCCCTCCGAACTGAGGCGGACACCATCGCTGGGAGAGTGGACCGTCTGGAGCGGGAGGTTGACTATCTGGAGATGCAGACCCCAGCTCTACCCTGCGAAGAAGTTGACGAGAAAGTGGCGGGAGGCCCCGGGACCAAAGGCAAGGGCAGAAGAAATGAGAAGTACGATATGGTGACAGGTAAGCCATCGGAAGGCAGGCCCCCGACCCGTGCTCTTGCGTGGGCAGCAGCCCGTGTGCAGGGATCAAAGCCCTGCAGGCAACACCGAACTGCCCTCAGCGTCCCCTTCTTCCCCCTTGCCCCAGTCTGCTCTGGCTGTGTCTTCGGAATCTGCCTTAGGGCAACTCTGCAATGACAGGTCCCCAAGGCGAGTTGCCGTGGGCCCAGGCCCCGAGGTGCCCTTTCCCCTCGAGCCACCATAAGAGTGAATGCATCCACTGGGCAATGCGCACTGTTCTCCAATGGCCCACCCAGGGGGCGGAGGGGTCTGGCATTGGGCATCTGACTCTTGCCTGTATTTCCTTGTCTTGTGCTTTTCTCCTTCCCCACCAGACTGTGGCTACACGATCTCTCAGGTGAGGTCAATGAAGATCCTGAAACGGTTCGGGGGCCCAGCTGGGCTGTGGACCAAGGACCCCGTGGGAGCCGCAGAGAAGATCTACGTGCTAGATGGGACACAGAACGACACAGCCTTTGTCTTCCCGAGGCTGCGTGACTTCACCCTTGCCATGGCAGCCCGGAAGGCCTCCCGCATCCGGGTCCCCTTCCCCTGGGTCGGCACGGGGCAGCTGGTCTATGGCGGCTTTCTTTATTACGCCCGGAGGCCTCCCGGAGGACCCGGAGGGGGCGGCGGGTTGGAGAACACTTTGCAGCTCATCAAGTTCCACCTGGCAAACCGAACCGTGGTGGACAGCTCCGTGTTCCCAGCCGAGGGCCTGATCCCCCCGTACGGGCTGACGTCACACACGTACATCGACCTGGCAGCTGACGAGGAGGGCCTTTGGGCAGTCTATGCCACCCAGGAGGACGACAGGCACCTGTGTTTGGCCAAGTTAGACCCACAGACACTGGACACAGAGCAGCAGTGGGACACGCCGTGTCCCAGAGAGAACGCGGAGGCTGCCTTCGTCATCTGTGGGACCCTGTATGTCGTCTACAACACCCGCCCTGCCAGTCGGGCCCGCGTCCAGTGCTCCTTTGACGCCAGCGGCACCCTGATGCCGGAAAGGGCAGCGCTCCCTTACTTCCCCCGCCGGTATGGCGCCCACGCCAGCCTCCGCTATAACCCCCGAGAGCGCCAGCTCTATGCCTGGGATGATGGCTACCAGCTCGTCTATAAGCTGGAGATGAGGAGCAAAGAGGAAGAGGTTTGAGGAGGCAGCCTCGTCTTACAAATCTCCCGTCTCCATACATTTATATCCCCACTAAATTTCCTGTGCCTCATTATCCTGACGTGGGCAAGTTGTAGTTCAAATCTCGTATTTCCAGCCAATGGAGGCCAGGTTCTCAGGGCCTCTTCATTCCGTATGGGATCTTGAGTAGTCCTTTTGGAGCTAAAAGAGGAGAGAAACCCTAAGGGCTCACTCTTCTCTCCTGCCCCACGTCAACAAATTTCAGGCCAAAGATGACCCAGAACCAGAGCTCCGACCCTCGTATGGGGGCGACCCCAATGAGAGGCAACAGGGTATTTCTTGCCTCAGTGTGAGCTGGAGGCGAGAGGACTGGGAGACAAATTTCAACCCTTGCCGTCTCTCCCTTTGGCGCCCTCAAGAATGGGACTTTTCTCCACCTTGTCTTGTACTGAAGCGTCTTGCATTAAAAGGAAAATCCACTGCTCCTCGCCTGTGTTTGTTTGGGGCAACCCTCAGGTCCTGTTTCCACCCCATGACCCTCTATTTCCCTCCTCCACCCCATCCCCGCTCCTTCAGCCACACTGGGGACTTGGCTGGGATTCCTGGCTGCGGGAGAAGGAACTTCTCTAGTTACAGATTTTACTGTGAGGCACCGGGGGAAGTAGCCGAATCGCACCACGGGAGGAGGCTGGGCAAACTTCTCCACACCCCACTCCTCCCCAGCAGCCCCCCCCCCCGAGCCCCCAGTGGCACCGTGCCTCTGGCCACGAGACAGCCCAGGGGCAGAGCTTCCAATTCCAATTCTCAGAGGTTCTCAACCAGAAAATGGGTTTCGGTTGCACTGGAGTCTGCCGTGGGAGCCAGAGGACCGCATGTGTTTGCACTAGGAACATGAAGCCTCATGTCTAGAGGACAGCCTCTGCCCCCAACCCCGAACCCCAAGCCCAGCGCCAGCATCGGGCTGGCCCCCAGGGTTGCACAATGGACTTGGTCTGAACTCGGGTTTTCCTGCTGCCACAGCGTCTGCGGTTTGGGTGGAGGGGCAGTGACCACGTCTGAGATGTTCGTTCTACCAGTTTCCCAACACACTCCCTCTCTCCACCCTCAGCCTCCCCACTTTCCCAGCCCGGGCCTGGAACCTGGCAGAAGTCCGTCTGGGAGTCCTGGAAACTTAACCCTTTCTGGCCGGTACCCTGGGCTCTGGTTTGCATCTGGGGAGGGAAGGGGACAGGAAGAGGAAAAGCCGGGGTTGCGACTCCAGTCTCCAGGAGCAATGTACCAGGCCCATCTCTGCTTCATCCCTGCCCAGTCCTGGGGAGCAAGGCTGCCTGGTGGACCAGACCCCCTGCTTTATGGGGAAGTTGACCGCAGGCCACCTTGGGACTCCTCGTGGTGACTCACCTCAAGGGGGAAGGGAAAGGAACATGGTCTTCTGCCCTCAGTGCACCTGTCCTCCCCCCAGAATGGGGTGGGTGGGCCAGGGCCCCCAGTGAGCCTCCTCTGCCTTCTCTCAGGCAGAGCTGCTCCCCGCGGTGAGGAGGGGGAGAGAAAGGCAGTAGGAGCCGGAGGCGGTGGGGCTCGCGCCCATTTGGTTCTCTCCTAATGCGGGGCTGGCACCAGTAATCACCGCCTGCCAGCCCGCGGAGGGGGCTGCCCGCCGAACATCTGCCCCCAGCGTGCCGCTGGGAGGAGTGTGGAGGCAGGAAGGGAGGGACGGCGGCAGGAAGCGTGATCTCAGGGGAGCCTGGAGACGGGTGCCCGCCGTGAGCAGGGCGGCCACGCAGCACTGTGGCTGTGCGTGTGCGCATGCGTGGGCGCACCTGGCGGGCGTCTCCCTGCGCCCTGACCTGTGTATGTTGGTGACAGATTGGAACCCCCCGGGAGGGTGGCGTTGTCTCCACACAGCCGCAAATGGCAGAAATGGCTTTTTGACGACCCTGGGGAGAGAACAGCTGCAGCCCTGAGTGTGTTGGTGGCATCTGTGAGTGTGAGAACCGGGTCCACCTGCCGCCCACGTGTGTGCCTGGCTTTGGGGCATCGGTCTTTGCCTGCTTCCTGCAGGAGAAGAGGAAACGGAGGCTTTTTTTTTTTTTTTCATTCTTTCTTCTGGGCTTAAAATTTCTTTAGAAAAGTTCACTGAGACTTTTCTGAAAGGGCAGAAATCTCTGAGGCCTTGTCATTTATTTCTTTTCACTTTTTTTTCTTTTTGGCTCCTGTACAAAAGCTAGTGCTATTTTGGAAGCGTTTTGGAAGGTTAGTGGAACTGTGTGGACAGATCCAGTGAACTGTCCAAATTCCTTAACTTAAATTATCTGCCGCTCTACTTCTGGCCAAGATGGAGGCGTAGGTGGAAACACTGTACCTCCTCGCACAACCAAATTTAAGGACAACAAAGATTTAGAAACAAAAACACGACCAGAACAGACAGAAAATTGAGCTGCACGGAAATCTGACAACAAGGAACCATTCATCCACTCTGGTAAGGGGCGGAGTCAGGGGTGGCAGAGAGGGGTCACAGCAGGAAAAAGCAGCCAGACCGACCCAGGAGCACAGGTGGCGGTTGGCAGATCCCAGGTGTGGGGTGGCAACGGGCGGACCCGGTGGGGGTGCAAGGTGGCTGGCTGACCGCAGTCACACATTCTCGCACAAATAAACCAGATGAAAAAATGGACGGTGAGACAGACCACGCAACCCAGGGCCCCAGCGGCAAGAATTAAAGCCTAAAAGCACCAATTGAAAAAACTTTCAGGGGTTGAGGTGCTGGGAGAGGCTCCCAGGCTCACAGAGAGTTCATTGGAGAGACCCACAGGGTTCTGGAGGGTGCACAAGCCCACCCACCCAGGAACCAGCACCAGAAGGGCCCAATTTGCTTGTGGGAAGCTGCAGAGGGGACCGAATCTGAGAGAAAGTGGAATAAAGGCCATCGCTCCCTCTCTGACCTCGCCCCCACATACAGTGTCACAACCCAGCGACTGGGTAGACTCACCCTGGTGAACACATAAGCCTCCACCCCTCATATGTAACAGGCACGAACAGACCAAAACATTATGGCTCAAGCTCAAGCAGAAGAACAAACAGCTCAAAGCCCCAGAGCCAATACTTCTAAGCTACCAAGAGATAGCCAACTTATTGGATGCACGGTTCAAAACACTGGTGATCAGGATGCTCACAGAACTGATTGCTTTTAGTCGCAAATTAGATGAAAAAATGAAGGCTACACTAAGTGAAATGAAGCAAAATGCACAGGGAACCAATAGTGATGGGAAGGAAACTGGGACTCAAATCACTGGAGTGGACCAGAAGGAAGAAAGAAACATCCAACCAGAAAAGAATGAAGAAACAAGAATTTAAAAAAAGTGAGGAGAGGCTTAGGAACCTCCAGGACATCTTTAAATGCTCCAACATCCAAATTATAGGGGTACCAGAAGGGGAAGAGGAAGAACAAGTGGAAAACTTATTTAGACAAATAATAAAGGAGAACTTCCCCAATCTGGCAAAGGAAATAGACTTCCAGGAAGTCCAGGAAGCTCAGAGAGTCCCAAAGAAGGTGGACCCAAGGAGGAACACACCAAGGCACACCATAATTACATTAGCCAAGATTAAAATGAAGGAGAGAATCCTAGAAGCAACAAGAGATAAGGGGACAGTCACCTACAAAGCAGTTCCCATCAGACTGTCAATGGATTTCTCAAGAGACCTTACAGGCAAGAAGGGGCTGGAAAGAAGCATTCCAAGTCATGAACGGCAAGGACCTACATTCAAGATTGCTCTATCCAGAAAAGCTATCATTTAGAATGGAAGGGCAGATAAAGTGCTTCTCAGATAAGGTCAAATTCAAGGAGTTCATCATCACCAAGCCCTTATTATATGAAATGGTAAAGGGACTTATCTAAGAAAAAGATAAAAAATATGAACAATATGAACAGTAAAAAGACAGCAAACTCATGGTTATTAACAACCGCACCTAAAACAAAAGCAAACTAAGCGGACAGCTAGATCAGGAGTGGAACCATAGAAATAGAGATCACATGGAGGGTTAGCAACAGGAGAGTGGGAGGAGGAGAAGGGGGGAGAAGGTACGGAGAATAAGTAGCATAGTTGGTAGATAGAAAATAGATGGGGGGGAGGGTAAGAATAGTAGGGGAAATATAGAATCTAAAGAACTTGAGACATGTGGTCATAAACTAAAGGGGGGGAATGGTGGGGGAGGGGTGTGCAGGGTGGAGGAGAATGAAGGGGGGAAATGGGACAACTGTAATGGCATAATCAAGAAAATATATTTTAAAAATTATCTGCCGCTCAAGGAGAGACCCTCGGGAGCCTTTGGTGTGACCTTTGGTTTGGGTCGAAGGAAAGGCAGTGGAAGCAGAGGCTCTGATGGGGGAGGAGGGACTGGAGGCCCAAAGAGAAGTTCCACATCTGCCCCCAAGGCCTGGCCCTAAGACTGGCCAGCAGGGATGGGGATGCGGGCACAGCAGCAGGAGGCAAGAGGGGCTGGTGCTGTGGAGACAGCCTTCCCCCACATCACTGGTCCAGATACTGCCTCCCCATCCCAAGGCAGGGTTCAGAGGGCTTCCTCACCCCGCCCTGGCCCCAGCGTCTCCTGCCCTGACTCCCAGGCTCCCTTCTTTATTCTCAAGATCCCCCCCCCCACCTCCCTAGTGCTGGGCTCAGTGTCTCCCTGCCAGAGAAACCAAAGTGTCTGTCTTGTCATTTTCATGTGGAACCAGAGCTGAGGTTGTCTGACCCCTGGGGGGGGGGGGAGGGAGCAGGGAGGCCAGGAAGGGAGCTGTTGACTCAGCTGTCAGTGCTTCCTCTGGGGTGGGGCTCAGAGCTGAACAGGAGCCGGAGCCCTCTCCCTCCCCCTCCTCCCCAGTCTCAGGTCTTCCGGATCCCTCCTTAATCCCTTTCCTGACAGAGGTGCACCTCCCCTGAGGCTCCTGGGAGCACCCCCTTCCTCTGCTCTCCGCTTCTCTTCCTGGTTTATTAGGTCAGAACAAGCTCAACTGGAGACTCTCCTGGTTTGTCTGTCTCCCAGCCTTCAGGATAGTTCTTGAGGATCTGCTGCCCAGGCTGTCCGAGACTGTCTCAGCTCTGTGGTCTCAGTCCAGGGGGCGTTTTCTGGTCCCGCTCTGCCCTTGGCCCCCAGCAGCAGCCTGCGCCGGCCCCGGAGGCCGGGAAGCTTCCTCTGCCACCCGGCCACCAAGGATGCTGAGCTGTCCTCTGCCTGCTCTTTTAACTTCTGCTCTCACGATGCAGAGCTTAAAAGATTAAATCTTTATTTATGGATTTAATAACTCCACAGCAGAATTACAGATGTGAAGGCCAGCGTATGAGAGGGCAGAGCGAGAAGGTGAAAAGGCGGACCGCTCAGGACCCTCCGTCCTGGGCTCTGACACTATCAGGAGTGGACATCTCTCTGGGGTCTGTGCAGCCCCGTCACCAACTTGTCCTCCAATGGCCACCCTCGCTCCCTGGGCATAGC